TGATGAGATATTATCTAGTTTATAATCTGTGTTTATTTTGATTTTTACTATTATTTTTATGCTTCTTGTATTTCTTCTAAGTACATTGAATGACCTTTGTGAATAATAATGTGCTATACAAATAAATTTGCCTTGCCTTGGCTAAAAAATCATCCCCCCTTGGTTTTAAAGGCATTACATTTGATTATAATTCATCTTTTGAATATCACTCTTTTGTTTTTAGCAGTCCTTCTATACTGTGTTTGACAGGTTACAGACCACCTAAACAATCATCTGCATCTTTTATCTCAGATTTATTTTTCAGAATTACTTTCAATTATCCACCAACTATGACAGGATTATTATTTTTAACTTGCATGTGGAAAATCAATCAGGCAATTTTTTAAACTTGCTTAAGTGTATGTGTGTATGTTTACCATCCTACTGGCAGCAAACCCGCGTGATCAAGTGAAAAACCTAGGAGACATCTTTGACTCAGATCTCATTTTTGAGCACCACACTAGGAATGTAACAAAGACAGCATTTTATCATCTGAAGAACATTAAAATGAAGATGATAGATTCAAGTCATTTGCGCAGTTGCCCCGCCCACAGCTGAACTCCCACAATGGCAAAGATGAACATGACAAAGATGTACAGGACGAGAACGTTTGCAAGCATCGGCAAGGTGTCCAAGAGTATCATCACCAGATCTTTCATACCCTAAGGGATAAATAAAGTATGTATGTATCTATCTATCTATCTATCTATCTATCTATCTATCTATCTATCTATCTATCTATACCTGCACAGGACAAGAAGACAACTCCATATTAATTATATACAATATATATATACATATATATATATATATATTTTGAACCCAGACCCATTTCTCCCTTTAGGAAAATTATGGGGGATATAAATCCGACCACCTAACTTTGCTGGTTAGGTTTAACAACAAAATCATTTTCAGAATTGTTTTACAACACATGAATGTACAAACTAAATCAAATTAAATAAAACTGCCTTATACTGGAGATCTTCTGAACAACATACTGTAGTTGCAAGTGTTACTGTCTGGCTCAAGGCCAGCAACAAAAAGGGAGGCCACACACAGACACTTCAATCAAGAAACAATTTATTTAACTCAAATGAATAAACAAAGTAACCAACCAAATGGGGTGTGTGAGTAAGACAGTCATCAGTCATGTCAGAGGTGTGTAGATGAGTGAAGATATGGTGTAATGTGTGTTGTAAGATGCAACAAACCAAACAAAGAGAGAAACAGGCTGTAGTGGCTGCAGCAGGCCCAGGTGAGGGAGAGAGAGACTACCTGAGGGGCGGACCTTTATGCCTTTTGGGAGGCCCTAGCCAAATGGGCAGGTATTAACTAGCCACCCTCCAAGCTCCGCCTTCCAGCCAACTCCCAGAACTGCAGCAGAAGAGTGAGGCAACATGCCAGGAGAATTATCAGCACTGTGTTTGAACCATAGTTACCAACTCTTCCATCTGTTTTGGCAGTTTAGCCTTGGCCAAGAGGTAACATTTGAAGCAATTTCTTTCCTCAGTGAAGCAAAGGCGCACGCTTGTTGCATCTCACAGGCCAGTGTGCAACATGGTCAGTGCGAACATCATCTGGAACTCCAACACGCACTCTGTTGTGTGGTGATGGTTGTGGTGGAGATGTGGGGTTCAGTGCTGGGCGACCCCTTTGTGAATGCACAAGGATCAGGCTAATGGCTTGTTTACGTGGCTTTCGGAAACCAAGTAGTTTACAGTCACGGCGGTAGATCACCCATGCATTAACAAGGCCTAGCACGATGGTTTGCCAGAACAGGTAGAGGTACCACCTCCTTGACCTCATGTGGTACTTGTACCTTGCGACACATGCATCAAGGAGGTCCATTGTGTTTTATCAAAGCATTGTATATTGTAAGTATCTAAAACTAGCTCTCGAATAAATATAGTGGAGTAGTTAGTTCGAGTTTTGGCATGAAATAAAGTAGCTAATGTGATGTTAGCTGAAAGTGCTACATAAAGCATATAAGGTGGTTTTACCCACCATTGCTATAATCTGGCTGGTAATGTTAGCCTTTGCTATATTAGCTTGATAAAAAACACGAGGTGTCTTCAGGCTGCTACACAAAAATAACATACTTCAGAACCCCGGCATAAACTATTTACTATGTATAAAAGTTTGTTCAGGTTAATGTCACCTGTCAGTTAGCTGACTGGTGACTTTAGCTTTGGCTAGCTAACGAGCTAACTTAAATTAGCTAACTGTTTAAAAGCTAGCTAGCTTTATAGTCAGGTGTTACACCAAATCTATGACCTGGGAATTTCAGCTGTAGAACCACTGAAAACGTGTTTACATTGTGATCACTTTATCGCTAATTTAAACCCCTCAGATTCGGTGATGCAAGGTTAGAGGATTGGCTAGTTTTAACCAACACTGAAGAGACCAAAGTAGAATAGAACTCATAGCTAGTGTTATAAGTCACCTTAGTTAACCCAACATCACACCATGATCATCAGTTTAACCTTTACAGAAAACAAAGGCACTTAAAAAAAAAGGCGATCAGTAGAAGTCAAACTATTTGCTTGTAAATGTTTATCAGGAGCTGATGTTAACATCCAAACAAGTATTAAACTCAGTTAATAATAAATAATAAACAATAATAATTATATTAGTCCACTTCCTTTGGCTGAGGTGTTGTATAGCCTGATGGCAGTGAGAACAAAGGATCTCCTGAACCTCTCTGTTGAAGTTGGCTGTAGTGCCACTAATATTTAACTATACATTTTATAAGAGGAAAGTTTCCTGCTCAAGTCTTGGCTCATTAAATTCTGTTACTGATGAGAGGAGCTCTACCTGCTGCTGTCAGATATGCTTGATCAATAACCATTGAAAATGAAAGTGAATATCATTTGATTGTTTGAACCTATTGTTATGTTTGATGTCATTTCAGTACTGACTTCTTGAGTGATGTCACAGGTGATGTCACCAGTCCCCAGCCACTGATAACTGCTGAGGTCACAGTTGTCTTGAACCAAGATTTTACACAGGAGCTGTTTCTGCCACCAGTCTAAGTCCATAATCCCACAGAGGAGACATGCAGGGCTCTGTTGGTCGGGGGGTGTCAGGGTCTTAGCTGCAGGAACGGCAGCCTGAGACCCTCGGTCCAGCGACAGTTGTTTGTCGTAGTGGACAAGCAACTCAGCATGAGCCTCGTGCTTGAAATGCTGAGGTGCCTCAGCACTGAGCATGAGTTTCAAGTCCCTTGTCTCAGAGCCTTCACGAGTCCTCTGTGGAGCTTGTGGCGGGCAGCCCGTCGGGAGCACCGGGACATTTCCCAGTGGTCTGAGGGTTGCTTTGGCATGCGCTGAAGCAAGGACTTGAGACTCACTTTTTTAGACCCAGTCTGTGGTCTCACCGACTCACAGCTGCCTGCAGGTCCTCAGAATGAAATGCTGAAATGAGGAACAGAGCACACACTCCTACACAAATCCTACACTCCTACAGAAAACCTGCAGGTGAATAATACAATCAGGACCATAAGACCCCCTTCCCAAAAACAAACAAAAAAAAAAAACTTATTGTGTCTCATTTATCTGGACTAGACAGACATGTAGATCTGTTTATTGTTGTTTTATCTTGGCCATATGAAGATGAAGATTCATATTGAAGGTGTTTTAACATGGGCTGTCATTTCAATACAGACTGAGTCACTCAATGCCTCAAACTGTCCAAGATCTAATACAGACTATAGGCTGTTTTTGTTTCAGATAAAGATCAGTATGTGGAAAAATAATTACGGTAGTGTTCAAATTCTTCTCATTGAAAAGGATTTGATCATTTTTTCCCTTTGTCATAATAAAAACAGAAATCTTCATTTCTTGAGTTGGGAGTAGGGTTCTTCCATTGATGGGGGAATGGGGACAGGTAATGTTTTTTGGTGACAGAAAGAAGCGAGTCAGTGTTCAGTTCCTTCATCCTGTCTGGTTCAATTCACCGCACAAACCTCTTCACCGTCGCCCTCCTCTAGAACAGAATAATTGTTGAGTCACAGTGAATGAAGTTGATTCTTTCGAGTTGCTCTGTAGTGAAGCCTTATCACTCTACTTACTACTGTAACATTAATACTGGTCTTTTTAAAAGGAAATTACAGGATCATGACTTTAGGAATGTAGTGAGTAATTAATCTGCAGTGTTTACTCTTGTGGTTCAATTTTCAAATTAGAATAATGACATTTGACACCAAAAACAGGCACCAAGATTCCTGAAAACATGTCTGTCTTTTTACCAAACAACTAAAATGTGTCAGCAACAACAAAATCTAACTCAAAAGGTCAGCTTACTAGCTTTTTTTTTTTTTTTTGAGCTTTCAGTCGCATCTCATGGACATAAAGGTGTGGTTCTGGTGTCAATATACAACCTAAATGTTTGTCCATCGACGGCCTCCCAGTCGATGCTGTGAGGAGCTTTGCTCTGATATTCTTTGTTAGAACTTGAAGCTAACCAACCAAGGGAAACTGTATATACAATTTTGATTATTTGAAAGCAGTAGTTCAGGTCATTTGACATGTGAGGTACTTATCTATAGTCAGTGTATTTACCTGCAGTAGATTCAGATTGGGGCCCCCTCAGTTTGGAGAAGCAGCAGAAGCACCAGCACAGAAGCTGAGTGATGTGCTGCTGTGGATGGGGGCCAGCTGCAAAATCATGTTTTAGCCACTTCAGAAACTGCCCACAGAAAAAAAAAAAAAAAAAACATGGAGTCCAGCTAGCTTCCAGAGACAACAGCCTGCTGCTGCCTCAAGAGGGCAGTAGGTTACAAGATTAATCCAAACACTTGATATGAGATGTTTTATGTGACACAAGGATGCTCAGAGATGTAAGGAGAGATGTCACTTCCACTTCTGTATTGCTCCAATTGATTTTTAGCTTTAACTAGTCTAACACTGGCTGCCTTACTTGACCACTGTTTGTACCAATTATTAAAAGCAGCTTGTCACACTTCCATTTCCTTTTTATTATTGTGAAAACATCTATTAACAAGACACAACATGGGAAAAAAAATAATTATCAAGAAAACATAAATTCCACAGCTCTCAGTTCACTTTTTTTGTTTTCTTACTTTAGCAACTTTTCCCCATGTTTCTTCTCTCCAAATTAACACTATAAAAAGTCTACTCGGTGAGAGAAAGGCCTCTTGACAACAGTTGGCTGACACAGAGACAACCTCTGATGGGATGTGAGTGTACCCAGAGTCCACAGGGATGATTCTGTAGTCCATATTTGTGTGTGTGTTTTTCCTTTTTCTTAAACAATAAAAGAGATTCCTCCTGTGTTTGTGGTTTTTGTCTTCTCTTCCTCCTTCTCCTTTTTGGTGTTGTGACGATGTCTGCTATGACGCTGACCATGCTTTCTGCCATTCCACAAACTCGTCTAGCAGCACTGGCCCTGCAGAAAAAACAAGGATAAATGCAATATTAATACAGATCTGGGTGAAGAATCTGAGAAATCATGAAGCACAGAGAAACTTTAAGAATTAAAAACCAAATGTACAAATGTTACAAAACTGAATCCAAAGCTTTTCTCATTCAGAAAGCGAAACATAAAAATATATAACGACTAGTAAAACAGGATCACCATTTAAGTCACATCTCTGCATTATGAAATTGGTAAGTAAGATTTTGTCAATCATTCATAAGTACAACAAATTTGAACAAATTTATTCTGACAGCACTTGAACAATGTAAATATGTACATTTGAATCAGTGTTTACACATCTACAGAATTTATTTGGGAAAGTTGAGACACTTTGGGAAAAAGATATCAGTAAATGATTTGTAAAGGAAGGAAAAAAAAAAATCAATCCAACAACAAGCACTTAAGTCTAACTTGCAATTATTTTTTTTGTTTAATATAGTAAGTTAAACTTTGGTTAACTTTGCCTTCAGCCTTAACGCTGCTGACCAGTTGCTAACTGTTGTGGCAGTGTGGAGGTGGCTGTAGCTGTTGCATCATCCAGTGTCATGAAACCCTGCTCTGCAACACTACAGACTTCCTCTCTGTATCCACACATGAAAATAGCAACAACAAACTACAGCAAGAAAACAACCCACAGGGAGTTTCTAAATCTGGATTTACACTGGATGTATCAGTTTAACCTGGGGAGGTTTTGATTTATAGTCCCATGTAGAATTTCGTCAGTCGATAGCACAATCCTAACACTGGAGTGGTGTCTCGTATGATCCATCCATGGTGTGCTTCAATTATATTCGCTATAGTCAGTGTTCACATGCTTTAATCCCCTCTGAGACGCAGAGCTACGAGGAGGGGAGGAGGAAGTTCACCTTGCTTCATTACTGCAGATGGGACTATTCTGTCGCCACATTAAAGATGCAATGTGTAAGATCTGGCCAGATCGGTCCTGAATTTTAGTTTAAAATGTTCAAAAAATAAACTAACACCATTAACGGTATGCTATCAACAATTTCAACTATCAACAATAAATGCACATATAAATAATAAATTATAAGGAAAAAGGGGAAAACAACATGATTAACTGGACAGGGGTGAAGAGGTGAAATGCTGCCCCCTATGGAGGTAGATCAAGTAGCACGATCATACACATTACACCTTTAACTCGTTTCATTCAGCAACAAAGTGAGTGTGGTGCGCAGGTGGTTTGAAGTGGAGACAGATTTGCTACATCGGTTACTGAATCATTGCGTTTTATAATTTTGCAAAGCGACGTCTTCAAATGTGTCGTTTCCTTTGACCAACAGTCCAAAGATTTTAAATTTACAAAGATGTTTTGCAAAGAAAAGCTGGACCAGAAAATGTTTGGAAATTTTGCTTCGCAAAAGATCGATTATCAAAATAATTGCCGATTAATTTTCTGTTGATCGATTATTCATTGGAAGTGCTAAAACATTTTTCTACTCTTCAGCATCTACAATCATTCTGGCATCAGACAGAGTTACTGCAGTCCTGACGTTGCATCTCTGTAGCCATAGTTACATTTCTTCGGAGCATGTATCCATCATTAACTCGAAGTATAAATCCAATTTTAGTCACTAAGCTTCAAGCACCACCTGTTTTCCAGGAGGTTTTAATTCATTTCACTGCAGCGTTTTGTGGTGTGACTAAAGCCTCATTGTGAGGCTGCTGTAAAATCCACTCACAAGCTCCATCTTCATCGTAGTTACTGAGGTCTGTGTTGATGGTCCTGCTGAACTCCAGAACATTATACCACTGGTCCTTATTCATCCCCTTGTACTTGGACTGCTGTGGGACAGAAGAACAGGGGGAAGGCAGTGAGGAAGTGATAGAAAGAGTGGTTGAGGAGAAAAGACTTTTCTTTTGCCAAAGAAACAAACAAACTGGGATTTACCTCCAGGAACTGTTGGAAGACTGGGAAGAGAGGCCATGTTCTCCCCAGCAGTAATGCCAGCATGGATTTAGCTGTGTCCATGTCCAGACTCCTCTGGTCCTTATCCTGATGACAAGACAGAGGCACAAAGACAAAAGCAGGAGCTTGAGGTGACAGACTTAAGTGCACAGTCATTTTATTAAACTCTCACTCATTCTTTTAGGGCATTCTCTTACACATTTCTGACATGACAATTCTGTTGGAGTTGCATTTGTAGGGTGATCCACAGTGCTAAACCAAGCTCTCCTAATTTCTACCCAAGTGGTATGAACAAATGACAACTGTCAGAAAGAGAGGAAATCAATGTCATTTAATCCAATGTGGCTGAGAGACAGAGCAGTAAAATAGATTGAAAGAAAAACGTTTTGTGGGAACAACAGAAATTAGTCAGAATTTAAGAGATCTGGTGATGGTGGGAAGAACAAATACATCCACCCACCAACAGTCCTGACTAAAACGTTGTTTGTACCATAAAAGAAGCTGAAGTCTGCCGTGTGGAACTCAAAGACAATGAGGACAGTCAAAGGCATCTATGTTTGTTTGCAAGCAAATGAAACTTCGCACATGATGAAGCTATCAAGGCAAGAAAATCCCTGTCAGCCACATAAATACTCGCAACTGAACAGTTTATTGCTGCACACCACAACCTCTCACAAGCACAAGCAGAACACAGAGACTATGACTTATCATCTACTTTAGCACTGTTCAAAAATATATATAAAACAGTGATAAAAGAAACTAAAATAATTTATGATATGATTAACAACCATTACATAATTTCAATAAGAATAAATCATAACTTTTAAGACTTGGAGCAACAGTGCACTATTTAAGAGCAATGACACAACAAAAATACAGCCAAGGTCAATCAAGTCCTTAATGAGGACTCAAACTATTTAGAGACACCAAAGTCTTGAGCTTCAGCATCTGTTGTAAATTATTCCTTGAGGAAATGTTTATCTTTTGAAAATGATAAACAGGAGCAAATGATGCTCATTTTGCAAATAAAGAGATGTTCAGACTGAGGCAGAAGTGCTGCATTAAAAAAAATGGATGTTGAAAATTGATCAAACACATTTTGACTTGGGAGTATGTGTGGGACAGAGTCAGATGTTTCACTACTCAAGAAACAGCACTGCATTAAAAAACCCGGCAGGGATATTTATAATACTAGCAGACAACTCTGAAATGATTACAGAGACATTTCATTGTCTTTCGTAGAAGAACTGCGATCGACCAGAAGTGTGGTTCAGGTTCAGTGGTTCAGTACAATGTAACATCACTCCAGCAAGATGATATTTAACCACTGGAGGCCAGCAAAGACAACATTTGGTGTCTCTTTAACTCTTTAAACAAAGATACAAAAGAAGAAAGCAAACTCACTCTGGCGAAGTCGAAGGCATATCTGTAGATGTTTTTGAAGACTACAGACTCGTTGAGCTCACTGCGCAGGTAATCCAGTTTGCTCTGTAACCTCTCTGTGGAGTCACACCTGCAAGTAGGTGAAGGACGAGACACATACACATGGTTCAGCAGCTTTTCTTACAGGTCTACTGACAACTAAAGACAGTGAGGTGAGAATGAGAGTGTTGGCAGAAAAAAAATAAAGATAGATTTCATCTGTGTTGAGTGTGTGAGTGCATGTGTGTATGTACTTGTACATCTGTCTGTGAGGGCCAGGGTGAGTTTCTCACTTTGGGAGTCAGGACATTTTCAAAGAGCTGTTGAGACTCTGTTTTAGCGTTCAGGTTAGTGTTAGTGCTCGGCACTGGTTGTGATGGTTAAGGTTAGACTGCCACAGGTAGAAGTAAAAATGTGTGTGCGTGTGTGCGTGTGTGAACATGTGAATGTGAATGCTGCTTATACCAAGCATGTGAAGCTTATATTCAGGGTTATAAACTTAATGTGGGAGAAGACAACAAAACAAAGTCTTATGTGTAACTTCCATTTTGAGCAACAGAAAAGAGTAACTTGTCTTACTGTAATAACGTCATTCCCCTGAGCCACTCCTCCTTTGTGAAGAACCCCATATTTGCTGCTTCTAGATGCCACGCTAAAACTAACATGATAATCTGCAAGAAAGAGAGAAACAGTCTGTTTAACTCCTGCTGACATTTAAATCCACATTGATGCATGTGCACAGGGTCTTCATTCCCTCTGTCATCATTGTGTACAGTCTGATTCGCCTAGTTTGTAAAAGGCAGAAATATTTCTGCAGCAGTGGAAATGAAGGGAGTTCAGCACAACAAAAGTCCCAAAATATAAAAAGGCAACACACACATGCAGCCATTGAAAAGTGACTTGTGTGGAAAGGCCTGGGATTTCATGCAGCTGAAAAATAACTATGAACTTAAAGTTCAACATGTACGTAAATGGATTATTTGCGAATAGGCTTTTTTCCATGACGAACATTAAACCATTTATTAATTTAGCACTACAGCATCTTCATTTAAATATTTACTATAACCTAATAACTCCAAACTGCAGCAGTCTACAACAATATGGCATTATATTTTCTAATGAATGAGTGTCATAAAACAGCGTTACCACATTCTCCTTGCTGAAAGTCAGAGTAAGAAGCTTCATAAATAACTCTTAAGCGTTTTGTTTTTAGTCCTAGGTTAACTAGGTTAAGGTGTGATTTCTCGGTGTGACCCCGTGACACTTGATAAATACAGTCAGGGACAGGCAGGATGAATCTAAGAGCCAGGGGACTCACATTCTCTGGTTCCACACCAATGTCTTCACAGAACTTTTCCATGGCCTCTGGACCAACAATCTTGTCAGGGCCGGCGTACTCGTGGAACCAGGCCAGGCACTTCTTACTGGAGAACGGTTTCGCAGCGCTGATCAGCCTTGCGCTGCGGATCTGAGGTCGTGCGAAGCTGCAACAAAGGCTCAGTTTTAAAATTAACTCAGCTCAAGAAAGGTTCAGTCGCTAACTTAGATGATACATGTTCAACACATGAGATCAATGATATCTAATAGTTCTCAAATGGAACAGATGAGTTAGGGCAGACCTCTGGTGTCTGTGGAGTAAAAAAAACATTGAATATGAAACGCAAAAACAAACGCCCAAATTCCTCAAATTCAAGGACCCAATTGGATCATGGTTAATCATTGTGACTGGAACACAACAACAGGGACATCCCTATAATCACAAATGTGACTGACTGACTGACTGACTGACCATAGTTTGACCTCAGTTCAGCCAAATGCCACATGAATGAGTTGGAGTTTCCCAATGCTCTTTCAAAATGAATTGGCACAAACAGTTTCTATCAGTGGGCGTTCACAGCCTGCAGTGTTGCCAACTTAGTGCATTTGTCACTAGATTTAGAGACAAAAAAAAAAAACAGAATTTAGTGACTTTTTGGACAAACCTTGGCTACTTACAGTCTCTTCTAACTTTCTCTCTTAGAGTGATCATTTTACGGTAAATCCAGCTGAAATCACAGCACAAGCTTTGTCTTTCATTTATGTGTTTGGGAATGTGAATAAAATCGTTAAAAAAAAAAAAAATCTGGATTTTAGCAGCAGCAGAGCAGCAGCAGCAGCTTGGAAATGTCTTGGACGTTTACCTGTAGTCTTAATGGGCCACGTTTCAAACTTGTTCTGTTGTCTGACAACAGAAACAGAACAGCTTTTATTTAGAATTCAGCTGTATCAAAATACTGTATATGTGAGCACGGAGAGGAGGAGAGAAGCAAACAGATAAAGAGCTGAAACCAGCTGATACTACACTGAATGCTAATATGACGTGATGATGTCAGTTGTTTACAGCGGTTCCACAGGTTTTCCACTATGTCGATTTCACACATTGACCATACGTGGTCCAGCTGTATACCAGGTTTTGGCCTAGTCTTGTTACAGTGAGAACTAGGAGGCTTTATAGAAGCTTAGAGATGTACTCTCCGTGGTCTCTTGCAGCATGGATAGCAGCACGTTGCTAATTTACTAAAGTGAAGTAAAGAAAATATCAAAAGAACTTCAACTTGGATTTTTGCACAGAATATCTAAATTCAAGCACTTTTAATGACCCATATCTGTTTATGTCCATTTTCAAAAACTTTCACAGCCTAGATTTTTTTTTCCCTCAAATGCACAAACTGTCAAGGACATCAATGACCTGTGGGAAACATGTATAGTGACTTTTTTTTTTGACGTTTCTTGAATTAAAGCTGAAAGTTGACACTTGGCTACATTTCAAATCCATCGTGGTGGTGCACAGAGGCAAAATTACAAAGACTGTGTCACTGTCCCAATACTTATGAACCTGACTGTATATCCAACTGACAGATAAGACACTTCTCTCTTGCAGTCGTCCTGATGTGGACTGAGGCTGCACTGATTAAGATATGTGCTGAGTGCCGTTTTCTCTGAACGCACACGTGAAGATGTATTTGCTTGGATTACATGCCTCCTTATTTACTTATGACACATACGCACGCACGGAAAATGAGAAGGTGAGGGGTTCAGTGTGCCCACTGCCAGGTGAAAGACAACCCTGCCAGTCCTTTTTCGGGCTGCTGCAGGTTCAGCCAATGGCTGTCCTCGCCAGCAGAGAGCCTCTACCTCACCAGCTTCTTATTACAGGTCAGAGAGACATGCTACATGAAAACATCCAGGACCCAAACTGAGCTTTACACTGCAAAAAATTCTGATGTTTATGTAAGATACAAAAACCTCTGAGTGGAGGACATTTCTTGCACTGCAGACAGACGACCACAGAGGACAGAATACAAAGTTACAGTGTGAATGAATGTGTGACTGTTTACCTCGTAATTTTACACTTGCGCTCATGGTCATCTGCATCAGGGAGCTTTCTCTTCTTCTTCACAGGCATCACTGAACCTTTAACGGGCTTCACTAGCTGGGCTACATTTTTTTTTTTTTTTTTTAAAAACACATGTTAGGAGGCAGTGAGAACACATTCACAAGCCAATAATTAAACATCTGCATAAGGATAAAATGTCAAGGATGCAGGTACCTGTGTGCTTCTGGCTGCCTGGTCCATTCAAATCTAAGAGATTCTACAAAAAAAAGAAAAAAAGAAAAAGAATTCAAACCCTCAGGTAATAAATCCCTGCTTGTCACTTTGCAGTTCAATAACTTAATATCTTAATCTTACCAAAGTTATCTCTGTATGTTTAAAAATTGACTACTTACAAGCTTGTCCAGTGTTTCTGATACCGACTGATGTCTGCCAGGTGGCACGGGTTGTTCCTATGAGTAGACACATCATCAACACATGCAAGATATCATTACCACTCAAAATGTCAAGTCAAAGAGGAGTCAAAACATCTGTAAACACATAAGCTAGTTACTTTTCAACTTTTCATTATTATCAAAACCTTTGGCAAACTTTTGGTCAAGTGATTGAGCTAATGGCATCTCATTAAACAAAATCTAAACGGTGTGAATTGGCTCAAAATGTTAATCACTGTAAATTACTATTTTAGTGGGAAAAGTTGGTCAGAATAAAAAGCCCAAGATCTTGTTCGAAGAATGGTGCAATCCATGTTAAGAAAACAGAGTTTGAAAAATCATGTAAACTCAATTTTTTAGTGATTTAATATGAATGAATCAAGGACCACAGTTTTACAATTTGAGCTAAATGTATTTCTGCTGTCAAATTTCATGGAAATTGAATGTCTGTCTGAAACTACATTTGAGAGGTCGGTCACTGATATTGGCCAATAAGGACACTGTGCAGACGAGTCACTATTTTCTTATGGACATGGCTTTGTACACAGGAGCAGTCATAAACAGCTGCCAAGAGTGCACACACTTTTGCCTCAAGTATCACTGGAAGCATTAAGACTTCCCTTCATTGGAGCAAAGGTGCCTTGTCTAAATCCAGGATAAACAGACTCAAAGTGGATCTCGACAGGTGTCCTAAAACTTTAGGTGCTGCTGTATGTGTAACTATTTTTAATAAAATGGTCAAAACAGGGCGAGTTAAGGTTTACTTAAATGACACATGCAGACATTAAAAGTGAATAAATAATAGTTAATATTAAGTGTATCTAATCATGCTGTATAAAAGGTATGGCTACCAGACACCGAGGCCACTTTGAATTACAGATTTGATCAAATCCTTTAAAAAGGACAGTGAGGCAGCAGCTGGCAGAAGCATGACTCATAATTCCCCAAATGTCAGTGTTTTCATCATCTGAGTAATGCTGAAAATATGTTTAATAAGTCACCATTGTTAAAACAAATCAAAACCGAAAAAAAAAGGTGAGCATTCAAACACGTTAAAACCGGTCAGTTCAGCTGGACTCATAACTATAATGAGTGAAACCGAGAACTGATTCAACAGATTTACTTTTCACCTGTGGCGACTTGAGATAGGTTCATGTAAACGCTCCACAAGACAACTGACGGAACAAGTGTAACATCACAGAGGACATTAGCATTACTACAGTCACGGATGGATTACTGAATGGGCTTACACCCGATTAAACCCAAAAAGAGGCAAAGCCACTACAACCAGCCCGTGTTTGAAGGTAACTAAGTGCAATTACTCTAGTGCTATACAATTTTGAGATATTTGTACGTTACTTGAATATTTACTCCACTACATTTATTTCACAACTTAAGTGACATTGCAGATTCCGATTAAAAATAGTAAATATAATCAACCAATAAATTGCAATGTTTTATTATAGGTTAAGGCTTATTGATCCAAGAGGGAAATTCACAACCTACCCAGTAGTTTATAAAGTAACTAATCTGAGCTTCACTTTTACCAGCTGCAACATTACAGTGTTGAGCACATTAATAAATCAATAAGTATATTCAAATGATAAAGACAGAGAGAGAATTTATATGATTCTGAAACAGGACATTATATATAACGTATTTGCATCATACTGTGAATGTGACCTGTATCTGGACACTTAATACATATAAGGAAAAACGCACGTTAATGCAAAGTGGAAATGCATCATGATCTTATCAGCCTGACCACTTCTGGATATAGTCCGTCTTGAATTGTGTTAGGGTCTTAGGTAGGTGCAAAGGCAGATTTGGCACCTACAGCTGATTTGCCGCCACCTCAAATTACTCATGCAGCAGGTTTTACACTGGAAGACAGGGCCCATTTTCTCATGAACCGTCCATGAAGAGATTTTATATATGGACTGCTGGGTGTCTGCTATGTTTGTGAAATTAACTTGCAGCTTTTAAAGATCTGTTAGAATGAACTATTGAAATAAATACTGAAATAAACCCACTGTTTCAACACAGTGGAAACCAGTAGAGATCAAAAAGGTTGAGATTATTGCGGCCAGCAATCATCACATTTATAGACTGAATCTAAAACCCATATAATAACATTACTACTACTACTACTACTACTAATAATAATAATCAATAAACCATTCGTTAAATTAACGGCCATTCAAAAAATAAACAGAGGCTGCGTCGCGGATGCTAGCTGAACACGGCTAACGAGGCTTGAATGACTAATGTTTCAAATCGTGGCCACATCTCTCATCTGGCGGTCGATTAATCAAGAAGAGAAAGTTGAATCAGGAGATAAAACGCGGATTGTTAGTTTGACACTGGTTTCGCTGTGGGGACTCTTCTTTTGTTTGTTAGCTCCGCGGGTGTCAGAGCTACACTGCTAACGTTAGCTAACCTGTCAACAGGCTCACCACATCAAACTGAACCCAGTCAGCACTCAGTACAAGAGAAGTAAATTATTTGTTTAAGTAACCCAAACAAGATGAAGACATTTAAATTCTTCTAAACACTTACTTTATTTCAGTTTTTCCACTCTACGTCTCATAAATGAGCTCCACCTGCTTCGGTTGTCGCCGGCGTTTCCGGGGTAATGGACGGAACCATCGTTTTATGGGGGTGTCATGCGAAACAAACGATCCAATGCAGGGTGAAACGTTTGCAAACACACATTTTACGAAAAGAGATTTAGAAAACAATATTTTTTATTTTATATAGATCACAATTATATTATTGAATGAGCCAACAGAGAACTACGAAAGAAAAACGGCTAAATAAAACACCCCCTGCCCCCCCACTGGATCAACGAAGGTGAAACTTTCTTTCTTTTTTTTTCTTTTTTTTGTTGTTTTAAAGGAATAATCCGGTGATTTTTATTCTGCGTTTTTGCTTTACCACAGCCTATAAAAACTTTTCAGTTTCTCTTGTCTTCTATATATGTATAAGACTCAATACGTTTTTGCTTGGTGTGTCTAATAAACTGACAACTAAGTGTTTAAATTGTCATTTCTATGTTTTTTTATTGATTTGGTTTCAAACCCACCAGAATTCATGTATTTCTTGTGATAATTATCGCACTTTTTAAGACTGATATAATTGCGTTTATTTAATGTGACTCCAACATGCAAACATCTCATTGTGTTCATTCTGAATTCAGTGCGGCATGATCTTTCTCATGTTGTGAAGCCCTTGCATCTTTTATTAACTCACGATCATACTTCAAAATCATCACTTCTGTTTATTCATGGAACCTATTTTTTTACTCTAAGGTAAATGCATTCTTATATTTTTGATGTACTTACAACCAAAGTCTTACTTTGAACATCAACATATTGACCTTCTACGGCTAAGTTTCAGTAGCTTGTATCTTATCACCAGAGAGGAAGTCTCATTACAACAAAGCACAAATTCAAAATCCACCCACACCCGAGTTAGTTGTCTGCATTTTCTTTCAGTGACAATAGTGACTTGTCTGGAAATGAAGGACAATAAGGAAACAGAAATCTCTGTCTTTACAGTTGACTTTTATTTTGCCAGGAAATAAATTATTCAACTTTAAAAAATACTTGAAACAAGCAAAACAATACAGCACACAAAAGTAGTTGAACCACTCTCATCTCTCCCCACTCCAACAACACAAGGTTTAATGTCTTTACTTGATGTAGTGGCAAACATTCAGCTGGTTTAGGCTGTGACTGATTGTGTTTAGTTCAAGTTTTGTTATCACACAAGGCTACAGGTAAATTTGCCCCACCCCCACGCCATGCAGGTCGGGCTGATGGGTGAGTTCAGGGCTTCACATGAGAAAACCAAAGTAACCATGGCCTGCTCCACAGGCTAAAATCCACTTCCAGCTTCTTTAACCTCATATGAAGTTAGGCCAGACGTCTGTGACCAGGAAAAAATTTCTGGAAAATGCTATGAAAACAATTCAGTTTCACCAGCTAATACTGATTATTGATTGGATTAAATATAACACATTCAACGACTTAACATGGTTTAAAATACAGAATGTCTAATAAAAAAGGGCAGTAAAATAAGACCAGTACCTGTATTTTAAAAAATGTTACCATGGATGGAAGTGACACCTTTATATGCTTTAAAACATAAAAGATATTTTTTTGTATGTTACTCTGTTCAGTGTTAATAGTGTGTTTCATACAGTTTGATAAAGAAGACACTGATGCTTGTTGTGTTGTTGCACAGATGTCTATGAATATGAATATTCAATATGATGACCAGATAAATAAAAACAGTGACTCATTAGATTAATAAATACCTGAAAAAACTGCACCCGGAGCTCAGTCACATACACTCAGTGTGCACTTTATTAGGTACACCAGATGCCAGTTTTTGCCAGAGATATGTTAATTCAATTATATGTTTTAGCATCGAGGTCTTAAGGATGGTGTTATACTGGACTAAATGGATACTGGATTAAATGTAATGGAGGCCAGTACAACAAAAGCTTTAACCATAACCTCAGTAATACATATGTTATTTAATTTACACATTTCTGTGAAAACAGATGTTGTGGCAGGACTGTTCTGTACTGAGTGCAAGTCTCTATATATGTTGTCAGACACATCCCAGTTTTCTAGAAATTGTTAAAATGCAAAAGTTAAAAGGTGCTTGAGGGTAAATGACATTTTTTTGAACCAGATCTGAGAAACTGTTGTTGTAAATGTTGAATAAGAGTCAGAGCTTTTGAAATGATGTTCAGAAATAACTTTCACTCTGTGTGAACCTGTGAAAAACCTCTGCAGGAGAAGTCTAACAATCTAACAAGTCTACAGCCATGCTAACGGTTCAGTGAAGCTGCACTGAGGCACAGTGGTGCTTTGAGTTGAACGCTACTATCAGCATGCCAACAGGTTCACAGTGACAATGCTAACATGCTGATGTTTAGCAGATATAATGTTTAACATGTTTACCATGTGAGCTTAGTGTGTTAGCTTGGTAATTAGCAGTAAACACAAAGTACAGCTGAGGCAGATGGAAGTGTGATTAGTTTTGTATCTGGTGCTGGACAAATTCAAACCTAATAATGGTGCTAGATGAAAAGGCCAGAGGTCCACAGCTTTTATAATGTATTCCTTGGGAACCATGACACATTTAAGGGCGATACATCAAGAAGTTGTTGAGATATTTCATTCTGGGTCAGAGTGTAAAAAAGGACATTTTTGAAGTGTCTAAATAAAATTTGCTACGGTGAGTACACAAAAACTGATCCGGAACAACTGCTTTTCTGAACAGATACACACAGATTCAAAGCAGAAAACTTCACTGCGTTACACATGAATACAGACATATACACACACTTTTACTGTACTGTAAGTTTATGCTAAATACGTCAAGGCTAAAAATTTGTATTTGGAACTTAAATGTGTGTGTGCATGTGTAACTGAGTGTTGAGTTTTGTGCTTTGAGTCTGGACTCAGATGTCTTTGTGTAAATTCACTTTTGACTTTATGTTTTTGTACTTTTACATTGTTTTTCCTACAGATTATTTCTACAGATTTACAAAACTGAATTTCTCATCCAGAGGTTTTTCACACGTTCACATGGGGTGATGCACAGCCACAGGTTTTGAAATTATTTCTGACACACATATCACACGTTTCTGTGATTGTTAGAGCTTGCTGACACCGAGCCCATCTGGTATCACAGCACACAAGATAAACCTTGAAGCATCTGGAAATGACATCTGTCCCAAGACACAGGTTTATACTGAATCACAAGAGAAATAAAAAAGACAGAAAATTCTGAGTCATTAAGGGAAAAATCCACCCCAAAATATTTTTGTGTTATTTTACTCCCCTTGTGTTCCTAGTTTACCTCAACTTTCCAGATCTAACTTGAGTAATAAACGACATTTCCCAGAATGCCTTTTGCTTTCATTCTGCTGTTTTCAATCATATGTGGATGTAAGGATGTACAAATATAAATATAGATAGTTGGCCATCCAACTGGTGACCACTGGGTAGACTGGATTTGTGTTTTGTTGTTGGTTTGTATTCTGGAGAGTTTTCTGTAGGAGTCGGTCTCTATGCCTCTTGTATGACAGACTACTCCCGGTATGGTTGTTCAAACTCCTCACCCTACGATAGAGGAGGCAAATAGAAACAACAGAAACGGGCCCGGGAACACAAGACACATCCTCAGCAGCAGGTTCTGTCAGAGGCACAAGGTCCTCACTGGCTAAAACAAACACACATGGATGAGATAGTATTTTGTAAAAGAAGATTGTTTTAGCATTTGTTTTAATTGGTTGGCAAACACTTAATGAGTGGAGCTCACTGTGTCAAAGCTGTTAAATAAGTAGCTGATCACTGAACGAAACAATGAAGTATTGACACTCAGAATGTTCTGATTTAGTTTTAGGGACTCGTCTCACTGTCCTCCAGTGTCGTTGAGAAGGTTTCAGAGTTTAAAAAAACAACAGGGAATCATCTGCAAAACACTAACTGAGCCAGGTCTGTGCATAGAGAATGAAACTGCATAATGTGATTGACAGGGGAGTTTGCTTCTTCTCAGGTGCGACAAACATTTCCAAAGAAAAGCTTCATCGAATTCAGAAAAGAACTGAGAACAACAAGACAACTCTCTTGGCTCTCTCTCTCTTTCTTTGCAGTTAAGTATATAAAATGTCAATCTGATTATCATCAACACCCTGGTCTTGTATTCACAGAGGGTGAAAAGCTATTTCAGCATTTTAAGTGGAAAGTGAATTATATTTGGCTAAAGATTCTTTTCTGTGATTAAAGTGAAGCTGACAGGTTTGCAGTAAGTGACTACTGTCGATCTCTGTACTGTGTCAGCGCTGTGAACGTACACAAAGAAAACAACTTTTGAAAAGCAAACAAGAACATTTCAACTGACAAAGAGAGTAACATTCTTCATAAATATATAATAAATATAAAAAATTCAACCCCGCACATTCACTGTTGTCTTTCTTCCTCCTCACTGCTCTCAGGATTTGATGTTTCAGTTTGACAGGAAATCCAAAATCAGAGCAGAACAACATTCGCTCACAAAGTGACGTCACCAATTCTAAACCGCAGTAGTACTTTTAGGACTGAGGGTTGCAGAATCATGATTTTATGATTTTTAAATGAATGCAGTGTTTTCGACATGCACTCCTCAAGAAGAGCTCTTCTCTGTGATCTCAGTGCAACTAGTTATATTGTTTTGACTCAGCAGCTGTTTTCCTTTCTATTTCACTGTGCTAAAGTTTCTGCAGCTCACCCACTGTGACAGGACAGAAAATGTCCAAGAGTCGCTGCGGGAATTATTCTGTAATACCTAAATATATATTAAAGGTTCAAGCAGCATTAAAAATGCAGCGACGTAACGACACAGAAACAGAGTGTGAAAATCGGCACTATGCTAATGTCGGTGTGACTATTATAGTTGCTTTAACACTTTCAAATATCTTATCAAGAACAAGTCAGTCCTTGGAGGTCACACACAAACACCACTTATCAACTCCCTGTAACTCCCTCTGGAAAAAAAAAAAGAATCAACTTATTTCAACACTGGAAGTTTATCTGTGGAGAACTGAAAGTCACTGCTGATTATTCGAGCAAGAGAGCAAACGCTGTGAGAAACACTTCATTTAATCTTAAATAAGATTAAAAATAAATTATTTGACCTTTTGCAACCTGCAGCATACTATCAGGACGGTGATTTGTCACATGATTACATTTTCCACACTGTGCTCCACCTGTGAAGGATTTCTACTAACCTATATATCATATTTAACTTTGTTAAATATCAACAGCTCAGACACTGTTCTGTGTGGTTCCCTCTGATCGTTTATGTTTAACAGCATTTTCCTGTAACTGCACTGTGCAAAGAATGAAACGCTTAGTGGACTGATGAGGTAAAAACTCAGAGATGGGGCTTCTTTGTTTCTATGTTACTGCTGCACTTTATATAAATAAATTAAAAACAAAAATCAAGCACCTGGTCATAATTTTAGTCATGTCTCTCCTTGATGCACTGAGTTCAGGTTTTTTACTCACTAAAATAGTTTGCAGTATGATAATTGTCCCACAAGACACATACTTGTTTATCTGCTGATAAACTCCACCTGAAACACGAAGGGTAAAGAGAAGACTAAACATCTGGATTTAAATGGCAGCTGGTCTTAAATTCCCAAGATTTTCAGACAAAATGTGACAGACCCTCTACTGAACAAAAAAAAAAATAAAAATCATAGAGCAGCATGCTGTTGAAAGTGCACACACATACACACATTTAAAAGACCAGATACACACCATGCATTCAAACCCCAAACATACACACAAACACACGATTTGGCAAAATACTCCTCGGTAGTTTGAACTAGTCTCTCCATCCAAGTCGGCTCCTCCTCAATGGCAGCTTCCACTCACAGCTTTTTGCATTCCCTGTTCAAAAATAAGACTTGAGTAGAATAGGAGGGATGCAAAATGGCTGCCGCTGAGATGACAGCTGCAGCATCACGTGAAAGCGAAGGATTGATATTAGCTTGTTACATCTGTCCCCCTTCCCCTCCTCCTATTCTGCAGTCTGTTGCTGATGAAAGTAAGGCAGGAAGTATTTCATTTAATTATCTCACTATTTTTCCTCTGAGCTGCCGGCAGACGCTGCACACTGCTGCCCCTCTCCTCTGATCTCACACTTGAGGGCAGCAGAGACAAAGGCAGCCCGATGACTCAACGCTATGCCTTGAAATGACACTCCGATCACACACTTGCGCCTCACAAACACAAAGAAAAATCCACACTTCTGTTGAAAAGACTATTCCTTGTCCTTCAACACGATCCCTACTTATCATCACCCCTCTCCTTTTCTTCAAACACGTCCTCGCTCCTCTCGCAGGTTCTCAAAGCGCTGGTCGCAGGCCAGGAGTTAAAAACAGAGCAAGAAAGCACACCTTCAGTCCCTGCTTAGGCCATGTAGATGAAGGTGTTGATGTCTGCCTCGTCCCTCTTTATGTACTTGTGTTCGATGAGCCACTCGATCTGTTCCTTAATCATTTTCTTCTGTGGCAGAAACATATTCTTCAGGATCTCCACCAGCTCCGTCTGCAGCTGGGCGTTGCTGATCCTCTTCCTCATCTTCATGATTTGGATGATGGCCTCCTGAGTGGGAAAAAGAGCAAATGTTACAGCTTTACCTTTACAAGCTGCACTTAAACTAAGAAAAAGCTGGAAAAGACAAAATGATGTGAAGGGTGATGAGCCGCGGATAATCTGACATCTTCTAATTTTGATTGCTGTGCCACAGAAAGAGTTGAAGAGAATAGAATACAAAAACAGAACAGAGAGGCAGGTTACAGTGTCAGAGGAACTGTGGGAGGAAAGCCTGGCAAATATTCAGAGCTGTTCTATCAATTCCAGATGCAGATGAATTCAATATAAAGTCTTACACACACTGCACTACTCTAAAACTTTAAGATTTTTGAATCTGAATGTGTGATGTGTGTGAATGCGTGACAGATGTGGCACTGCTTAAGGATCACTATCACACTTATTCTGGCACCATCCATTACTAAGTAATTTCTTGTGTAACATATTTAATTGGCTTTCCAAACAATATGGAACTAACATTCAGCCAGATTGTGTTATAGCACCATATGGTTGTTCTGATAGGAGGAGGACCTTTCCATCAACAGCAGGCTTTTAAAGCAGGCATGGTTGCAACTAAAAAAATTATATTATTAAACTGGAAATGTCCATCGCCTCCATGTTTCAAGAGGTGGCTCAACAAGATGCTTTCTGTTGCTCAGATGGAGGATTAGATGGAAGGCACAAGAGTTTTTCCAGAAGGTGTGGAAGCCATTTTTTGACAATGCTCTATGAGACACTCTATGAGCTTTGCTGCTATGTTGTATCTCTACTCTGTGTAAGCTCTGTCTTGTTGTGTATACTGTACGGATGTTCGGTCCTCTGTCCGTTTTGTTTGTTTGTTTTTTGTTTGTTTGTTTGTTTTCTTTTTTCGTTCTGTTTTGCACCCTAGTTTCGTTTTTTTTGTGATTCTCCTGGCGGACGGTCACGGTCTCCTATCTTGATTGCTTGCTCTTGGGAGTTCTGCTGAGGAATCCATTCTCTCTTGTCATTTTGTAGTATTGTACGTCTATTGTGGTTAGTGTATGTGTGATTGTTCTAATGTAAGAAAATCATAAATAAAATAATCAAAAAAAAAAAAGAAAAAAGACCAAATCCACAATCTTTAACTTTAAGTGGTCGAAGACACAGACGTAGTGTGATGGGGGGATAAAAAGTATAAAAAGCATTTTGTATTTTCATACCTGAGTTCTGAGTATTCTGAGCTGAACAATTCCTTCGTTCTCCTCCTCTCTCATTCGCTCTGTGGTCAACTGTAGCCGACCAATTAGATTGATCTTTCCCCGCTTCTGCACTTTGGAATTTTTGCTGAGAAAATAACAGACACAAAGACACAGATGATCAATATCCCTAATATCTTAGGTTTAACAGTCATTTCTAATGAGATGTGTTTACAACACACAGAGTTGTGGTGTGAAGCAGACCTGAAAGTGCTTGTTAACTTATTTGGGAGTAAGAAGATACATATTTAGTACATATTTACAATTTTAAATTTAATTACGCCACATTAAATATTAGGGGATTTAATTAATAATGACACCATTTGCATACACACGGAAAAATATCTCATCCCTGAATAAAATCATGGGTCAATGGGAACTTAAAACCACCACATTTTTGGAAACAAATAGTAATTTGCAATGTATTAAAAAAAAAACAATGAGAGAGGAAGTACATAATATTTTTCTTATTTCTACAAACACCAAACATACATGAGGGAGAACTCCTGGTTGACGTAGAAGAGTGTGCTGTCTGTGAAGTCTTTGGGTGAGTTAACTGGAGGGTCGTAAGACAACACCTGTCTCTTCAGCTTGGGGAAGGCAACCAGAGACTGCAAAGAGAGACAGAGAACAGATGCTAACAACCATGTGTGCAGTCAGCTGGCGTTACGATAATCCAAAAATCACCATTCACATTGTCTCGGACTCTGTTAAACATATTCTGATTATCTTGTGTAGGACTGTACTACACAATAGTATTGTTGTTTAATTACCACTGTTTTCAAAATTGTGTTACCATGAGAAGAAATTATGCACAAAAATGATACACTCCTGTTGTTGTTTTTGTAGACGAGGTTTTGCTCCTGTTTTTTCTGGTTAGAAACGTCAGTGAGCGCAGATATAGATGTAGATTAATGACATGGATATTTGATGGCTGGCTGTGCGGCTGGTAAAGAATGTGTTTAACCTCAGTAAATGTTGTAATCCTGTGTACTTGTGATGTGATGGTGGATTGAAAGTAAAGCGTTCAAAATGTTTCCTTGGTCTGACCCAGAGTGTGCGGCGTAGCTCTGCGTCAGGCAGCTCTGTGGCCAGTTTGAGGTTCTCAAAGCTGATTCTCTCTCTGGGTCTCTGGTTCCAGGCGAACAACACGGCGAGCTGGAAGGTTGTCACCTCGAGGTCGTACTGACCCACCTCATTCTTAAAGGTGATCTGAGCAGAGGGAGGAGAAACAGAGGAGCCAGCGACAGGAGACAGAGAAAGTGAGAAGGGCAGAGTGTCTGTTTACAAGAATGATGGTAACACAGTCAGTTTGGTTCGGTAGCCTGACAACCGCTGAAAAGAATACATCAGAGAAAATACTCTAAAATGACTGCCCGCTCCTCCCATTCTCTTTCCTCATTTTATGAAGTTCAGCCTCTCTGTAACACTGTCAGTACACTTCATCAGAACAGCTTTTGGATGGTTGGACAGCTTTGGAAAGAACTGGAAAGGAGCAGGTCCTTGTTTTGGTTTATCTTGTACATGTATTTGCGCCCTTGTGTGCATGATACAGTTGGTACCGTTGGAGCCAACAAACATAAGGAAGAAGAAGACTGCTACCAAGCAAACATCTAAACAATGTAAATGATGATGATTTCTATTTGATACTTCAATTCTTTTTACACCAAAATTAGCGCGTATAAAAGCCTTTCTATTCGGACTGAGAGACCAGACAAAGAACTCTAGGGAGCAACATCATCACATGCACTAACAGAGCGCACACACACACACACACACACACACACACACACACACAGGCGGAGATAAGTGTCTGAGCCTTCATGTGAGACGCTAAGTGATTCCTAGTGATTGTGTGTTTTTAAAACAAAAAGCTGTAGCCACAGTGTTTCTGGTTCAGCAGCACGGTGCTGGACAGGTGACAGTTGTGTTTACAGTGTCTGTGCTCTGAAAGACGTCATAGCAGGAAAGGGAAAATTAGCGAGTTCGCCCAGGTGTTGTTTTTACATCACAGCTGATCGGAGCCAGAGCTGATAAATACCTGCAACTACTGCAGAGTCATTTGACCCAGGTGTGAATGCTGATTGTTCCCTTTCACACTGCAGACAAAAGCCTGATGCATTTGATGACATTGCTCCCTGCAGTTGTGTGTCTGTGTCCTCTCAATCTGAACAGAAAGGCAAACTCAGTGTGAAGGGAGTCAATCGCCTGTTTACGCATACACAGTAATCCTGGTGTGAAAGGGGCTTTAAACTGTAAATATTTGGCATTTTTAAGTTATTATCTATAAGATTTTTATTATTTCAGACACCATTTTTGATAAAGTGTATATCCTGCATTTTTCTGCAATAGTCATTCAATGTATTTACATTCAGTAAGTACCTATCTCTATCGTAGGTTTCATTGTTACCAGGAAAGTCAGCCATACCTGCATGGGATTCAACTACCATCACATGCACAAGGGTTTCATTCAAATGATGTATGCATGTACTTCACTATTACTAATAACTTTAACTGTATCTCACTGACAGATGCCTTCCTGTTTACTGATCATTCTCTACAGTCATGTCAGAGCTGCATTAAGTTAATGCTAATGCACACCAAACATTTCCTACTGCTGCTGCATCACATGAAAAGCATTCAACATACAAGCCTTTCCTTTACTGTGAAGCAGTCACAGGAGATAGGCTGGGTTTGTCATCTTTAAAACTGTCTGCAAAGTTTAGTTGACAAAACCATTTTGAATTTTTGCATGGGAAGAATGAAATAAGTAGAAACGGCCACAGTGAGCTGTTAGATAAGGAGCTGCAGGTGACAGGCTGCACACCTCCATCTCATTATCAAGGCCAATAAAAAATAGAGGGGGGAGGAAAAGTGGAGGGCAGGATGAATACGAGGAAGATAAAGTTGAGGGAGAAGAGAGCGAGGAGAGGCTGCAGGAACAAAAGATACTTTTATCTCAGTAATTTCCAAAACCAATTTCATTTTCCAGGAGTGTAAAAAATGAAATATTATCTCTGTGAGGTTCTGTCTGTTGGTTCTTCATGGCAGCAGGAACCCTGCACCATCTACTATCTATGAATCTACTCACAATGCCGTTAGACATGAGGTGATGCCAGTGGAGTTTGCGGCCACTGTGATTCCTTTTGTAAAAGTCTTCCACCTCAGGGATCAGGTCCTCCAGCTCCGTGGGCAGCGAGACAAACACCTTCTCACTGCTTCGTGACCAAGCTCCGGCATTCAGGATCTTAATGTTCACGCTGTCCGCTGCGGGAAAAAAGAGAAGAGTGCAGCTTTAAAATATATTCTTCCATCCAGAGAATCATTTGTGTTTGGGCAGCAAAATAACCTAAATATTAGAGACATTTAATCTCTGCAATAATGTGTGCACTTTAACTGATGTGTTAAACTGATGAAAAAAGAGACAGAGAGAGAAGGAAAGGAGAGAAAAAAAGTTCATAAATGGGCTGCATATATATTTATGTATATACATATCACTTTTATCCAAAGTGCTTTACAATTTGGCATCGTTCTCATTCACACACACACTATCACACCAGTGGCAGTGAGCTACCATGCAATGATGGCCTGGAATGATGGAAGCAAAAACTGATGGAAAGGAAAACATAACTACAAAGTGGTAATTTTGTAATTTTCAACAGATTTGTGTCAAAGATGGTTGTGGTTCACACTGTTTTATCTAGAGTGATTCTGTTTCTAAGAAACTAAATGTCAGCTTGTGTGTGTGCGTGCGTGTGTGTGTGTGTGTGTGTGTGTGTGTGTGTGTGTGTGGTGTGTACCTGGCAGTGCCAGCTTGTTGTGTTTGTGCATCTCTTTGAAGACCTGATTGAGGTCCTCTGACACCTTGATGTCCTGAAACATCCTGGCCAGCTTGTTCACATAATCAGCGGGCATTCCTACTTCCTACACACACACACACACACACACACACACACACACATACGTACATGTGTGCGCACGCACGCACGCATGCACACACACACACACACACACACACACACATACACACACACACACACACATACGTACATGTGCGCGCACGCACGCATGCACACACACACACACACACACACAGGACAACAAAGCAGAGGAGAGATTAATTCACAGTATAGGTATAGGTTATAAACCCCGCTCCTCCATGTTAGTGTGAGATGAATTTTTCCCAAGATGTTTCTGTCATTTTAGGTAGATCTTATGAGGCTGATGTTTGTTCAAGAGTTCATTTTTCTGATTTCTGTTTAGTTTTAATGAATTATTTTATTGTATAAAATGGGAGTGTAACATCATGATATGACAGCTGTCAGGATTCACTCAAGTGGGACCTAGACGCCACGGCTCCACCCCCTGATCACTAATGCGCATCCTCTGGCTCCAAATGATGCCACCCCTGCAAGATATCCATACCTGGGATATTTTGACTACAATTTTGGACAGCGGGAGGAAGTGGAGACGCATTGTCCATCTTTACATACAGTCAGTGGAGCAAAGACACAAACCAGGCCAGTGGAGAAACAGTATGAGATAGATTCAGCTAAAGTTACTGTACAACAGCTTTTTTGAAGACAAATCCAACACTGATGCATTTTTTTCAAGTTTGTTTTGTTGTTAAATAGAAAAAAATTTGTTGGTTTTGTGGAAAGATGTGCTTATATTCCCCAAAGATACGTATGATGTTGGTACTGGCATTGAGTATGTGGTATATGTGGAACAGCTCTTGAACTGTGAATTTATTCTCTGTCCAAGTGTCTGACAACAGATTTAAGATAAGTGTAACTCACTCTCAGCCACTCAACCATGTTCTCTTCAATCTCACTGTCTGCTGAAATGTCCAGAATCAGGCGGCGGGTCAGGTGAGCTTTGTGGTAACGCATGAACACATCTTTATTCTGGACATACTTCAACACCAAGAGCTGCAAGCAGACACCATAAAAGAAGAGATCAGTGTGAGAACAGAGGACAAAAGGGAAGGTAAAAGGCAACGCTTAATAATAATAATAACAATAATAACAACAACAACAATAATAATAATAATAATAATAATAACAATAATAGCCCTGTTTAATAAAAGCCAGGCTAACAAGACAGAGACTCACCACTTCTTTGAGTTTGAGCTCAATTTCCTCTGAGGTGAGTTTCTTGCTGAGAGGAGTTTTCCTTAGCAGCATATCACAGTAGTTTGCCAGCAGCTCTGGACACTTTGACTCCGGCTGAGTCTTCATACCCACACTTGTTGAATGGGGAGACACACACACACGCACGCACGCACGCACGCACGCACGCACGCACGCACGCACGCACGCACGCACGCACGCACGCACGCACACACACACACACACACACACACACACACACACACACACACACACACACGTTTACATGCAGATCGTAACAATTATTGATAGTTATATAATAATATAATTATATAATTCATTCTGGACAATAAATGATCATTATTGTAACTAAGTCATCTACAATGATAAAACTCACCCTTTCTGTTTCATAGGCAGCTCCAGTTTGAAGATTGTGGCATCATTGACAACAGCTTTGTAAGCCTGGAAACAGACAACATGTAAACCATCACCACCATTGTCATAACAGAGGAGAGTGCTAGCTTCACAATCGAGATGCACAAGTGAGAGGCTGCTACTTTGTCTCTGCAGAGTTGAGCTGTACTGTTCATTTTTAATGAATGCACAAAAGAAAAGCAGGAATTCAAAGCAAGGACAGAACAGCTGGAATGAACTCAAATCCCTTTAGAACATAGGAGATACAAAATATTTTACTTATTTTCATGTAGCTGGGTATCAAATCTTTTAGGTGTGATTCTTCAAATCATGTTTCTTAATTGTGTGAAGCTTTGGAAGTCAGAGAACACAGACCTTATCTCTTGCTGTGAGGAAGCGAGGGTCGTCCTGGAAGGCGTCCTTCACCAGCTTACTGAAGCGGTTAAACAAAGTCAACAATTGTTCCACGTATTTCTCAGAGTCCTAGACATACACACATACATACACACACACACATATACACACACACACACACACACACACACATTAAAACTATTGTACATGTTGTGAAAGCTGCCGATCAATATTAACTGTTAACTCAATACTGATGTCACACACTAAATCTAAGGTTCCTGCTCTGAACACATCTACTGTACAAAAGGTGTTTCAACTAAGATAAACTGAGTTCTGGGATCACTTTTTAAAGATGTTGTCACATTTTAACCTCTGATCATTCTTTTGGCAAGCGAATCAAATGTTAGAAGTCTGATTATAAACAACTATAAAGGCATTATCTGGTCCTGTTTGTAATGGCATTATTATTTTAAAAAAAACCTCACAGTGACAACACTCATAGTGCTGGCATCCGTGAGGCCGGTATTCATGAATGAATTAATCAAATTAAAAGTATGGGTTTAATCATGACCACGTGTAAACTGAACATGAGATTGAGGAGATGTGCAACTGTGTGTGTAATAAGTGTGTGTTTGTGCACATACAGTAGTGATAGTCTCGGCAGCAGCCACCATGTCTGCTAGTCCAGCACTGATGATATGTTCTTCCAGGTCTTTCAGCATCGGCTCGATCCCGTTTGGAACCTTGTCCATCAGTGAAAACATCAGGTGCAGCTCTGCTCCAGGGAGAAGACAACACACAGGACAGGAAGAGGATTGGCTAAATCCCAAATATCATGCACTTCCAGTTATAGGTGAGTAACTGAAATTCAGCAGGTAAAGGACTGTCCAAATCCACAATTGATCAAGCCTCAAGATGAGTTTCTGCAAACTTCCATAGAGGTTCCACCAGACACATGCTCAGTTACCAATAATTCTTACCAATATGGATCAGATACTACTGATAACAAAACTTACCGTTTGAGTCCTGAAAAACAAACTGGGCTTACTTCATCACAATACATTTAAAAAATTTAAAAAATTACATGACGATGATTTGACCACAGTGCAGCGTTACTCACTGTCTGTCTCGTTGCGTTTGATCATCCCTGGACATTCGGCTAAGATGGTCTCTTTGAACGACGTCACCAGAGCATTCACACAACATTCCATAAGCTGCGAAGACACACAACAAAACAAAGGCTCACTGTGAGAGAAACTAATTTAAAGCTTAATAAATTTATTTTTGGACCAACTGTGGTCAAAAAGAGTAAATATCAACTGAAATATAATGATCAGACTTAATTTAGTAAATGTCAGGCTCTTTAACGCTGTTCAACCTTGTACTGAACATAATGTGACAAGATGACCTGAAAATGCTGAGAAATAAATCATTATTATTATTAGTTATTATTAATTATTAGAAATAAATAAATTAGTAGTATCAATACTTCAGATCCTGTCAAAGACACTTACTGCTTGAACAGAGTTACATTCACGACGTGTCTCTAGATATCTAAGTGCTCTCTTCTCCTCTTCTCTCAGCTTTGCGTCTGCCTGCAGGGAAACACACATTAACACAAAACACAGATACTAAGAATCAAGGTTACACAAACACTGAATAAACCAACAATTAAATCTCTCTCATGCACACACACGGCCAAGGTAGTAACTTTGGGTATTACTGTCCACAAAGTTCAGCTATAACAGGGTGAAAGTCACGTTTGTCATTTGGAATATTTTGGTCCATCAGAATAATGGCCTGTAAAAGTGTTGAAACATTTGAAACTATAACAGGTATAAAAAAACATTATGTTCTGCAAAAACACAAAATATGCCACTTTGCATGTTTCCATTAACTATTCACCCAGCTGTGAATATAATCAGTTAACACTACAAGTTACATCAAAATGCTGGCTTACGGAGAGTATTTGTTCTTTTCCACATTGAAAAGTAACCATATCCTTCATGCCAACACTTCTACTTGCAATACTCAATATTAATGTGGCATACATATTTCATGTAGTTCTGGACCCCGTTCTGTTGCAGGTAGGACAGTGCCTGTGTTCTGTAAAACCTCTCTGTGGAGTCCAGGTAGGCTTTCTCAAAGTTATCCCTGTATATTTGCAGCTTGTCCTCTGGGTTGGAACACAGGTTCACTAGTGTGAGAGAAGGGCAGAGAGCGGAACAAAAAGTGCTAATTAACTAGTGCTTTTTCTTAATGAGCGCATTCAGTAACAACATCCCATCCTATATATTCACAGTAGACGTAAGGGTTTATTTAAATGGACAGATTTGAAATCACTATCGTATCTCTACTTCTGCCCATATCAATAATGTCCATCTCTGTGTTTCTGTGCCCGGGCCATGTGTTTCATTTCTGTCCGTCTTACCGTACGACTCTCGTACTCCTATAACCAGCTGGGAGTCGAAGGCCTCCCCCAGCCTCTCAGCATGTACCAGCTTCATGGCACTGTCCTGCAGGCGACTCTTAATGTTGGAGAAGATCGACTCGTTCCACGTGTCCAGCATCAGCTGCAAAAATAAAGTGTTCAATAGTTAGTTATATAGTTAAATAGATACCCTCAATTTCCTGCCATCAAAGAATAGTCACGTTTACTTTATTTATGAAGTGCTTTTAATGAAACTTCTTCCATCTGCCTGTTGACTCATTCTCTCTCCCACACCTTCCTCCTCCACAGCACTTTACCTGGAATCATTTTTCTGAGCGAGATTCTTCACAAGGATCAAATATCACATGATTCACACTTTCATACTATTCTGTTACAGGAGGATTTTTTGACTAACTGACCCTTGGTTACTCACTGCAGCCCACTTGTAACACTGATCATTTAGGAATATGTTTTCCTCCCTCTGAGCCACTTCTCACATCCTCTCCTTTATTTCCTTTTCCTTTCTTCTTAATGTTGCACATGATTTCATGTCATCCCGACTTGATGCTTTCTTTTTCTTTTTTATTCATCTATTCCCATCCTGCTCCTCTCAACTATTAAGCAAAATGTCATCGTCGTCCACACTGGTGTTCTACCTGCCCCTGTTGTTCTCCTTATCCACCTCTCCATCTTGCTGCTTCCTCTTCTGTCGTCTCATCATCTCATTCCTTCTCCTTTTATGTTTTGTGCTTGTTGTCGAATGAGATCTTGACCCCTCAAACTGGGGTTTCCCACCTCACCCCCTCACCTTACGTACGATGCTGTCCTCCATGTTTGTTTTCTTGTTGCTGCCCTGTTTGCCCATCAGTGTGATCTCAAGCTGACAGAATGGTTTGGGCAGGATGTCGCACTGGGTGAAGAACTTCCTCCACTCTACAATGTAAGCTTTTAGCAGTGCCGTGTCGTCCTGGTGGCTCAGCACCCGCTGCCATGGCAACAGATGCAAGCAAAAGTTAGAGGTGATACAGGTCAACTAATAAAAACTTATGAGGCACCCTGATCCTTTGTTCCCTGCAACAATTATCCTACTTCTCTATCACTTTCCAGAGGAGATGTGGTAATGAAAGGCAGCTTCTACACAAGGGACCATTTAAACAGTAACTTGAACGGGGACAAAACATTTCTTCAAACAGCTCCTCTCAGAAATCAAGCTTTGTTGCAGCATGTTCACAGTTGTCAAGCCACGTCATCACCTTTCATACACAATGTCAGTTCAAGGTGTTTCATATCAGCATAAAGCAACTTGATAAAATCATTTTAAAACATTGTTGTTGTGACTTTATGACATAAAAGTGACCAGGATGCTTATACAGACATGAGACCAACATGTTAAACTGCCATCATATTAGCATAAACGTGTGCATGTCTAAAAAGGGATTACTAAACAAACACACAAATAAGAACAAAAAAACATAAAATTAAACCACTTAAACGCACAACTTACAGCCTGTGCTTGTTTGATGAAGTCTAGGATGTCCTCTTTGAGGGCTTGGTGGATTTTGGCTGGTCCTTTATCATCCCATAGACACACAGCATGGACATCTCTGGCAGAAAGAAGGAAATGGTACCTCACTGAAGTTCATTTAAGTTAATTATTATTGTCTAAAACAGCATATCTGATATTCATTAAACTTTACAGTACATGTGACTTTCACTAAGGTGATGGGGAAGCCATTCATGCAGAATGCTGCCACTGAAAACAGCAAGGTTTAAGCAGGTCCTGGTACTTCCTGATATAATTTTAAATAAGCTTATGTTGCCATGCAACAAATACAATTCAGTACTTTCTCTGATATCTCTTGGAAACAAAACTTAATTCAAGCAAAGTCTCAGGAGGTTTAAAATAGTTTCAAAACATCAATGTCACATTCTTATGGAGATTCAAAGCACTGACGGGAACAGCATGTGATTAAAAGCAGGAAGAAAAGCAACGTCAGTGTCAGGACAAGGTTTTAATTTCAACCCGACATTGTGGTCACTGAGAAAATACTGCAAACACTGTCAGACTGAGCTGCTCCCTTGTGTAACTTAGCTTGTAGAATAACACACTAGCACTGCCAGATGCTGCCTAGCAGAGACTGCAGAGCATACAGAACTGAATCCTGCCATAACCTTTCATTTTCACTGGTTTTGTCCCACCATGTGTGGCTCCTCCAAACTCTGCACCTCAATTTCTGGGACACTCTCATTGACTTTTTCTCTCAAATTGAGACACTGTGCTGCAAGTTTCAAATCCTCTCATATTATATAGTTGCAGAACTATCCCTTCAAATGTGACCTGTATTTCATGGGCTCTTTGAGAGAAGATGATAAATTGTAATAAAGCTCCCCATGTTCCTGTTCCCCAAACTTCTTCTCATCCTTCTTCTTTTTCAAGACCAAAATCACAAACTTCCTCTCCTTGACCACTTTTCCTGTCCCCATAATCCCCTTTGTCATTTAAGGATCAGATAAATCAAGTCACTCTACTAAAACTAACTTCTAAAACAATTTAAAAAACAATTGGACCGTTTGAAGGTTGTAACTGTTGTATAGCAACAACAATAATACCATAATCCTCTTCACACCTGGTAAACTCAGAAAAAGCACATTACAATAACAGCTAAATAAAAAAGGCACCATCATTGTAATTTGTAGTTTTTAGTGCCTTTTTCAAAATCAAATCAAATCCAATCCAATCCAATCAAATCAAATTCTTCATGGTTTTAAGCCACACCACAACATCCTATTTCGTAGCTAAACACATCACACATGGAAGAGCAGGGATTATGTAAAGTACAACACATGTTGGTAAAAACTAAACCCATCTATTGCATGTGTGTGCTGCTGAAATGCACCTAAACAGTATGCTGTGATTTGTGAGTGGACAGCTGTGCCATTCTATGTTCAAAGTAAGGCATCTGTTTTCAGGATCTGCTGCTACATTGGACCACTGTCTTAAATAAAGCAGAGAAGGGACAGAGCAGAGAGTATCTCTTACGAGAACAAGTCGAACCACTGTTGCTTGGTGACGGCTTCCTGTCTGAGCAGCTTGAGAACGATGGGTCGCATCAAATCCCACTTGTCCTCAAACTGCAGGGACCCCTTGTTCTGGAGGAGAGATATGGGATGGGTGGATCAAGAGGAAGAGAAGGAAGGATAAAAACAGCAATGAGAGGGAAAGTGTTGGGAGAGAGAAAGCGAGAGAAGACAGACAGAGAGTTAAGAACGGAGATAGACCAAAGGCTGGGATAAAATAGGATAACTAGATTTTCACATGTCACTGCCATAGAATCGCTTTTCATAGCTTTAAAGAATTCTATCTCAGCTAAAGCAAGTTTTTAATTACGTAATGCACCTCACATGACATTTATTATCTATCTTGTAGATGTACTCTATGTCAAAATCTGGTGTTAAGACAAAATGGTTTTGAGTGGTTTTAGTTCATATTTGTGGCTACTTTGTTGTAGCCATTGCTCTGTCCATACATTAGCTATACCACAGGCGAATCACGGAGCTGAAGCCAGTTGACACAGACAAACAACAATTCACACCCAGAGTTGCCAATTAACCTAAGCTGTGTAACTATGGATTGTGGGAGGAAGCCAGAACAACCGGAGAAAACCCAAGTAGGCACAGGAAGAATCTCCACACAGAAAGGCTGGCAAGTTTGAACCCAGAGCCATCTTACTGTGAGGCATCAGTGCTAACCACCACACCACCATGTCAAGTTATTAACACAAAGAAAACTATGGTTTGGTATGGTCGAAATATTCCATCATAGAAGTACTGTAAGACTGCAACCAATCATTATTTTAATTACCAATGCATCTGACCGTTACTTACTGTAATCTATTGATCGGTCAGTGTGTAAAATGTAAGAACACAGTCAACAGTTTGCTGTTATAGGAAGCTATGGAGCAAATATTCACATTTGAGAAGCTGGTATCAGTGATTTTTTTTTTTGCATTTTCTCTTCAAAAAAAGAATTATACAATAAAACCATTATCAACATTTTTCCCCAGTTAATTTTCTCTCAAACTACTAATCAATTGACCAACTAATCATTCCAGCTCTTGAGCTCTGGTTAGTTTCTGGGTGCCTGGGAAAACAGTGAAACTACCATGTACAGTGGGGGTCAGAAGGGGCCCTATAACACATTTTTTGGCCTTAGGCTTCTAAGGAGGTTAATCTAAACATGCTTGGCATCTTACTGTGTACATTTAGAGAATTATGGTCCACACAACACTGGTTTGTAATAATGGAGGTGAAGCATCGGTGCGATTGAAGAGGGTCAATGACCGATTATTGAATTCGGCATTTAGTTCAACAAAATAAAATAACACATCTGCTACTATCTTATGATGCTTGACCTGAGATCCATCAGCTGGACAGATCCATCTCCACAGTGTCCATACTGCCCACATGAAGGCTTGTTTTGTCTATTAATGCTAGTGTCAAAAAAATCACACACACAAAAAGGTCCCATCACATGAACACTCCTCTCAGTGCTGCAGTATTTGCACCTCTGCTGCTGTTGTGTGCAGTTATCAGCTTTTAGCTCGGAAAATTCACATCATGCACATTTGTTATTAACCATTAAAAACTACCTTGTATTTAAACATACCACTTCTTGTGGTGCCCCTAATATTTACCCTGACATTAGCCGAAGCTAAGTGAAGTACCGGAGTGTCAGGAGGGGGGCGGGCCGCCCCTGAAGCCACCTCTCCTCTCACCTGTGATGCTACCTGACCACTTTGGACACAGAGAACTTATGAACAAGTGAAGCTTCCCGGGGCCTGGTGGACACGGGCTGTGTATTTATCACTTCGAGGAGAGGTTAGCAGGTTTGCAACAGTTCGCCTAATAAAGGGAGCTTTGCCGGTGTGTTGCTGATGGGTAAAAAGGGTGTCCAGTGTCGGAATAAATGCGCCCTTTGAACCGGGTCTCCGGTGTAAGATTTAGGGTTTGAGATGGTGCTTGTTCGGCTGCGGTTCGCCGCGGCCGAGGTGGCTGACTGGGGTAACGGCTGTGGTCGGAGTCGGGTTCAGAAGGGGCCGGGTTCGGTTTGAAGACCGGTTCTGGTCAGGGTGGGGGGATAAACCGTTGGGAAAACGGACACCGGAGTTCAACAACGACAGCGGTGACAAGTGTGACTTCAGACGCACCTATTGTGTTTTATTTCATATATTTACACTATGAGACCGTGTAGATGCATGTGATAGCAGCAAATATATAAATATCCACTAAGAGTGAAAATATATGAAAGCGAAGAGTTTAAATCTGCACATAAATATGAGAAATATGAAATATTCAAGTGCTACTTACCTTTAACAAATTAGACGTCGCCATGTTTCTTCAACTTATCACCTCGCAGAATCTCGCGAGACAGGTACTACAGCTGGTACGGGATTGGATCATAACAACCTGCACTGACATTTGAGTCAGTGCTTTTACCACTCTGTAACAGTGCTCTCTTACAAGTAAAAGCCCTCCATTGATGAATGTAAGTAACAGTGTGTATGGATAATCGGGAGAATGTTGCATTGGTTACATTAACACCGCATTAATATTAAAAGCAGGATGTTTGAAGTGGGGGTGATTTTTAACCATTTTGTATTGGACTGCAATTAATGATTATTTTCATTTTGAATTCATCTCCTGATTTCCTCATTCAAACATTGAATTTTAATTTTAAAATTCTGAAAATAGTGAGAATGTCGTCAGAGTGACCCATGCCGATTTGAAGTTTGAAATTTTGAAGTTTGGATTATTGGTTGCACAGAAAAAGTGCAACCAATAACATAATTAAAATGATTAAAGTAAATGCAACAAATCCTCAAAGAAGCTGGTGACATGAAATGTATGGTATTTTTTTAATGAAAAAATATTATTAAAATAGTTCATCTCTATTAATTGTTTTGTCAGTGTTTCAGATCAAGGCTACTCATATGTGCATAGTGATTCAAGTAGTTAAATTACCTCCTCTGTTTTCCTCTCTTCTCTGAGCTCCAGTGCGAATGAGTCTGCCGGGCCCTAGGATAATATTGGCAGGGGGCCCCTCCAATCAATGCTGCAAATATTCTAATCTCGTTCTATGATATGTTTCTTTACTGAGCCTCAAAATGTGATTTTCGTTTGAGAAAATGTAAACCTTGTTAATGATAATCAATTATCAATTAGTTGTTTCCGCCTGTTGGATGGATGTAATGTTGGCCTCAGACAAATTCATTTTTTACTATTTTCTTACATTTCCATTAAGAGAATAGTTAAGCTCTGTTAATTAAAGAAGACTAATAATTGTTAGATTAATCTATAATAAAATCATTCTCAGTTGCACATCTACAAAAATCATGTGATTGTTTGAAACCAGTCTGAGGCCAAAATAAAGCTGTAGATAGTTTTTAAAAATTTAAGTCAAAATAAAATGAGGTTTAGTAACTGGCAGCATGAATTACACAGACAAATCCTTCATTTATTAGTGTTTAAATCTAAGGTGCAGTGCAGAGAGTTTGACAGATGAGGGCAGCACATACCATTTAATCCAACATGTGTGACCATAGACTGTGTGACAGAGTGGAACTGCAGCTGTACTGAATATAAAGTGTGGATATATTTGTTCATATTAGATATAAGTACTTGGCATCATAAGTAGGCCTTCATGATAACTATATTACAAGAGCAAGTAAACATATTTTTCATGAGATAGAAGATTGACATAAAACAGCTGCTCTAGTTATTACTTGATGTGTTATGATCTGCACCTTTTATTTCCTCTCAAACTGCAAATTTTCTAATGTCCTATAAAATTGTTTCTTTACTGAGCCTCAAACTGTGATTTTAGTTTAGTTACATCATAACTTATTTGTTAGTTTACTGAACAGGAACAACACAGATGAAAATATGAATATATTATGAGTAACAGAACAGATGTAAACTGCAGCTTCTGCCTCTGGTTAGGCTTTTAATTTCAGGTTAACGTTATATGTAACTTTTACACATTAAAATGTCAAAAAATGACCAGACCTATGTTATATGTTTTTGTCTCGTTGTCTACTTACATTATCCCATATGTTTCCAGTAATTCTTGCTTAAAGTAAGTCCAGTTGTCTTCATCTTCTCAGACACACTGCCGCCCGGTGGCCATGATGTGTTATTACAGCTCTGTCTAATTAACTGATAATAATAATAATATTATAATAATAACCAATTAAGGACTCAATAAGTAAACACAATAGAATAACATGAAATAAATATTAATATAATATAATAATAAAATAAAACAAGTAAATTTAATTTGAAAATATTAAAATATAAATTCTGAGTAATCTCTTCTGAAACTGCAGTGAAAGTTCACAATTATATCATAAGATCATTAATGAATGAAGGATATTTTGAAAGGGGTCAAAGTATTCAGATGCTTTACTTCATCCCCAGTGTAAAAATACTCCATGACCAGTGAAGGTTCTGTATTTATAATCCTGGTGAAGTAAAAGTCCAGAAGTCTTATCAGCCAAATGTGCAAAGTATCAAAAGTAAAAGTATTGGATCTATACTAAAAAGTTACCTGTGATTTAGATATATTATTATGTATGACATTAATATTGATTCATCAATGTCTAAGTTATATTTTTATTGTTGTAGCTGCTCAAGTCAGTTTTACCTAATTTACATACAGTGTGGTAGTTCAGTCCAGTGGTTCCAATCCGCGGTGTTGGGCCCCTCCAGAGAGTCTCCAGATAAATCTGAGGAGTCCTGAGATAGGAATGGAAGAGGAAATAAGAAAACACAAAGTTCTACTACACCAATTTATATTCCTTAACAAAAGTACAATATTTCTCTTAAGTGTAAAGTTGCATCAAATGGAAATACTCAAGTAAAGTACCAGTACCTGAAAACTGTGCTTGAGTTAATTTACTCTGTTTCCACCGTCGCCATTTCCATGAAAAAAAAACTATGATGAAGCACTTTCCCTCCAACATGAGTCGTTATCTCATCAGCAGGTAACAGAAGACGATGAAAACAAAAGGAAGCGCATAGATGACTTCTTTAATCTTTCATCATCAGTTCTTATCTATAAGTACTGCTGGCTGGTTTCAACACATTATGCACACACACACACACACACACACACACACACACACACACACACACACACACACACACACACACACACACATAGAGAGACAGAGAGGGAGATAGGTGAAAGAGTAATCTTTGCCCTTTGAGTCAGTTAATCATTCAGCTGTAGCACCCTGAAGGTCAAGGTGTTAAAAACCTGTAACAGTTACAGCTCAGAGAGGATTCCTCCATCACTGGTGAGACGACATGGCTACTGAACAGTGCGAGGACACATCCACGGACATGAGCTACGAGAACCAGAGCACTGGACTCATGGCAAGGATCTGGAAATTTAACCCCAAGGAAGTTTTCACCTGGTGAGTGGACAGAGGAGATGAGAGGAGCGCAGGTGTCTGCACAGTCAGCAGTCTTATGTTACTGATATTGAAGGCACTATTTGTAAGGGGTTTATAGTCTGTAATTCATGCCTATATTGCTGGTTAATAAAGCATTTTCTAAGACTTAATAAGTCAGTTATAAGCCATTGTCGAGAACAACTTTTGGGTTGCCAGGTTATGGAAAATCCTCCTTTTCAGCACAACATTTTGTCTTTTTAATTAACTGTTTAATTCATCAGTGAGACGTCTCCAATGGACTGTTTGGTGCTGCAAGACATCTGGACCAAAATGCATTTAAAATCTGATTATTAACATCAATAACTACAGAATTGATGGATTATTGCAGAACTCTATTAACATTTATAGGTGACTTTGCTGTTGACTTACTAACATGAATAACTGCAGACTTGGTAGCCAGTGTTGCTAATGTCAATAATGGTGATGAACTATATTTCCTGTACATGAGGAAAAATATATAGAAGGGACCAAAATGATCAAATGTAAAAATTAATTTAGTAATTATTCATCTTCAGTTCAAAGGGAAATATTGTACTTTTTACTCCACTACGCTTATTTTTTAAAATTTTATTAATCTTTTTAATTTTTAAAATTCCCAACCTTTTTGGCTTGTGACCACTTACAGTGTCGCGTTCAGGCCCCGTGTCATGTTTTAAGCAGTTCTCCTGAAGAAAATTCCCCCTGCACTTATCTTTAAGACCCAAAAATACTAAATTATACAATATTTTATTTAGAAAAAAGGAAAAGATCCACTTCAGTCCAAAACATTATTACAAACTTGATTCTTACCCAATTAATCACATCACAAACCCTTAAGTTTATCTTGTGTCTCTTTGGAGGGGGCGAACCCTTACGTTGGTAACCACTAAACAACAACATCTACACCTGCACCAGTTACAGCAGTAAAGTTATCCATCGATGCATCAGATTAACAATCTTAGTAATGTCATATATAATAGCATATCAGTCACATGAGGCTATTTTTCTGATGATGAGTACATTGAATGTTACTTATATATAGTATACTTAGCTTATAGTACTATTTTCACACTGTTGCAACAATACTTTTACTTAAGTTAGGATTTGATCAATTCTACCACCACTGCAGGAGATACATCAGTCCATAACTCACAGTAAATCAGTGAGTTGTTCTTTTTACAAGTATATTTTTGTATGGATTGACAAAACAAGATAGATTGTGTTTTAGAGGTGTTGTTTTAGCTACCCAGCAAGCTGTTTCCCCTGTTTCCGGTCCATATGCTAAGCTAACATAACCTGGTGCTTGCTGTAGCTTCATAGCTTCATATGTACTGCACAGACATGAATTTTCCAAAATGTCAAACCTCTAAGATCAATAGTCACCACTGATATTTCCTGAAGAATATTTAAAGTGGACGATGTTGAAAAATAAATGTGCCTGGAAGCTTTTTGATAACCCTCTCTTCTCTCAGGCAGCTGGCCAAAACGTTGGCCATGGGTCAGGGCCTGGCAGGGCTCATCTGTGGGACGGCCATTGCCTCCCAGTACCTGGCAACAAACTTCCATGTGAACACACCCATGCTGCAGAGCTTCTTGAACTACACCCTGCTGTGTGTCACCTACACCACCATGCTGATCTGCAGAACAGGTACAGTAACCCCACAGTAACACAGTGTAGGAGTAGTTGTTGTTTAATGATAGCAGTAGGGGCGACTGGGGACGGTTGTAATCATTACATTTGTCTCAGTCACTCAGAGACTATTTGAACTAGACCAACCAAACTTTTACATATTGGACTGTCTGCTAATGACCCGTACCATTTAAAGATGATTACATATGATGTCATTCACGATATTTATTTGAATTCAGATGTTTCAACTGATCCCAACCCTGGGGACAGTTGCAACACATTTAAAATACATAAAATTTCAATAATGAACCGTTTGCTTTTTGTCTCAATAAGCATAGTATTCTGACAATATGCATGATTTGACAATAAAATAGTATTATTTATTCATACAATAATTTTATAGTATTATTTATTTACTCAACAGTTGTTCAGTCTTGTGTAGAACATAGAACCTACCTTTAGTCAAAATAGGCATAATTTATTTATTTTATTACTTATGATGAACAGAACAGGTAAATATATTATGAGATCATGAGCAGCTGACAAAATAATTCACACAATAACTTGTTTGTATTCTCTTATGCATTAAAATGAGCAATTATTGGTGCTTCTCTTGCGCTATGGGACAAAAATAGCTGCATATTCTGTCTATTGTGAACTAAAACTGTTGAAACATAGCTACAGTTGTGCAGCAGCATATGTTGAATGTGTCTTCTGTCTTCCTGGTGGGGGGAGGGTCTAACTGAGAATGTTCAATATGAATGTCATCACTCCAGCATGTTTCTGATTGGAGAAATAAGACTTGTTGTAACCGTCCCCAGTCTCCCCTAAATGGTTCTGTTTGATTATGAGTATTGTGTAATACATGCTATATGCTAAATTTCTGCCTTATATATATATATATAAACTATAATGAGATATAAACAGGCATCAGTAAGAGTTGGAGTTGACTGAGTGATTGAGCAGTATCAAACTGTCCTCAGGCTTGGTGTTGAAACAAACTAATGTCAATACTGAAGTTCAGGGGTGTTCCCCTTTAAAACGCAGGGGATGGCAATATTTTACAGATTCTGAAGAACCGATGGTGGAAGTACCTTCTGCTGGGGCTGGTNTGTAACCGTCCCCAGTCTCCCCAAATGGTTCTGTTTGATTATGAGTATATATATATATATAAACTATAATGAGATATAAACAGGCATCAGTAAGAGTTGGAGTTGACTGAGTGATTGAGCAGTATCAAACTGTCCTCAGGCTTGGTGTTGAAACAAACTAATGTCAATACTGAAGTTCAGGGGTGTTCCCCTTTAAAACGCAGGGGATGGCAATATTTTACAGATTCTGAAGAACCGATGGTGGAAGTACCTTCTGCTGGGGCTGGTGGATGTGGAAGCCAACTACGCCGTGGTTAAAGCATACCAGTACACCACCATCACCAGTGTACAGGTGAGACTCTGCAAAGGCTCTGTTTGCATTTGTGGACGTCAGGGAACGGGTTGACACACACGTGGTTAAAAGGTCTTAAAATGAAGGCATGAATAACAGCTTCCAGGTTCATGGCACACAGGAGCGGCTGATCTTTGAGATTCTTTAGGTTGACAGAAACAGGATTGCACAACTGGGTTTGACTGGTGAAACTGAGGTTGCTGTCAAATAAAACACTGAGATGTCAACACTGCTGAGTGATATGGTGGGAGAACCAAGTTTCTTTAACAGCATCTGCACCACTTAAGAGGATCTCATTTTTTTTGTGGGTTCAATTGTAAAAAAAAGTTTAAAAGGGAGATAATCTCATTAAAATTGTTGAAGTCGGGGCGTCGTGTAGCGTAGTGGTTTAAGCAGGCGCCCCATGTGTAGAGGCTACAGTCCTCGCTGCAGTCGGCCCTGGTTCGAATCCCGCATCGGACGGCCTTTCACTACATGTCATTCCCCCTCTCTCTGCCTCCCCGTTTCCTGTCACTCTCCACTGTGCTGTCCATTAAAGGCATAAAAAAAGCCCAAAAAAATATACTTTAAAAAAAATTGTTGAATTAACAGCTAAACTAGAGTGGAAACTGTTGGTGTGTGTCTCTTAAAGGATGTCCTGTAGATTGAAATTGAAAAAAAAAAAGAACTAACTGACTGCAGCAGCAGTAGATCAGCAACTTTCTGTGTGGTAAAATTACTGTTTTTGTCAATGGAGTCTGGTGGCTTTGAACAGAACGTTATAATGGCTGTTTCTGGTTAAACAAGGCTCTTACTCTTTAACAAAAAGGTCTGTGTCTGTGCTTTTATTGGACATAGTTTGGCGCAGACTACTGCTCCGTTTGATTACATTGCAGCAGCTGTAAACCATTCTTGCTCAATAGTCGACACACACAAAAACATGGGAAAATAAGATCCGGGTTAAAAAGTCCTGGAGTTATCCTTTAACCTTGTCGGCACCTCACATTATTTATGCATAAAAAGTTGACCAAATTCGGTTCTGAAAATATATGATGACCACATCCTCTCCCCAATGTTTTTTCAGTGAATTTAGCTGCACTTTTCAGTAACATGAAAGAAAGGAAGATGCTTTGTAACTCTTTCTATAGCTGGAGAAAGTAATACAGGGTCTTTTGTGGCATTGAATTGTTTTAATATTTGATTACAGCACACTATGAAAGTGCACAAAACGCCAATCAGTAGATCAGATTCTACTTACGTGATATGATATGATAAATGACATGACCTGATCATTGTAGAGATCCCCCAACATCTATATTTGTATACAGCCACTCCTCCAACATGATGAGGATTTACCATATACTAGCTTCACTAGGTCAAACCTGAGACATTTATCTGACATGAAAACACTTGATTCAAAGATAACTGAGAATTACAGGACTGGCACCTCTACTTGTTTTCTCTCTTATTTTTAGTCTGATGCCATCGGATTCTGACAAGCTGCAGCTCTTTGTGTTTACGTATGAATGTGTCTCTGGTTGTGTTCCTGTCTCCAGCTGCTCGACTGCTTTGTGGTCCCTGTCCTAATGCTCCTGTCCTGGTGGGTTTTGAAGACACGATACAGGCCGGTCCACTATGTAGCGGTCTGCATCTGTCTCCTCGGGGTGGGGGCCATGGTGGGGGCTGACCTGCTGGCTGGACGGGACCAGGGCTCCAGTAAGAACTTCCTCGAAATGTTTACTCACTGAGCTAATTAATGTCCCGGGCTATAATGTGTTTAGGCAATAATCCTGTGATGAGTCAGCATTTATCAAGCTGTGACATTTAAAGTGACAGATTAAAGTAAAACTACAGCCGTGTCCCTGCTCACAGACTTAAAGGGGATAGTACCAACTTTGCACATTGAAGTACAGGGCCAGTTTTTTATCAGGCTTCATAGGATTACACTTACGAATGCTAAAAGTACCAAATTACTGTAAACTGTTAGGCAGTTTTAGCTGTGTGTGAGCAATAAAATATATTTATTGACTTTCTCCTACTAAAAGTCACTTTTAAAAGCTACTCTCAAGTCATCACGTCTGCTCAGAGAAGGAGTAGCCAATCAGAGATAAACAGTGACCCTACATCTGCCATATGTGACACTCAAACAATATACTTTTATTTGTGTCAAATCTTGAAATCTGTGGTAATAATTAACATGGGAACTGAACAACAATCTAATTGAATGAAATGGAAATCAAAGAAGAAAATTGAAGTGCAGACAATGAAGTTGTTTAGACAGTAAATTGAATCAGTGTTAATTTATTCCTGCTGTCTGTTTGCAGCCTGATAAATGAGAGAAGTGTAACTTCATATCAAATGTCCAAATGCAGATAATAGACTAAAACGACTCTTTTCCTAAGTATACTGTTTCAACTAATCTATTATTATTATTATTATTATTATTATTATTATTACTCCCGAAGCCTTCTGAAGCTTTCTGAGATTTAAGAGCATTTTTAACTTAAATAGTTTTTATTCTTAAGTTTGTAAGTAATAGTGAAGGGTTTCACTTTTCTCTTTCGCTCACGTCAAAAATCTAACTTTTAGCAGTTTGATAAATTCAGGCCCAGGCGTCGGGGAGCACCAGTGCGTATGTGAAACTATAGTACAAAGTTTCAAAGTGAAGTCTGATAATTGTCCTCAAGTGATGTCACTTGAGCGTCGGTCGGGTCTGAAGAAACAAATCAAACAAATCTCAGGATGTAGGGTTACAAAGAAGTGAACTTACCAGACCTCCATAGCTCCTCATCTCTGCTGCAGGCTCCAGCTACTTTAGCCACTACAAGCAGAACACACTCAAATCTCTGACCAATCTCTGGGCAGACGTGTTGCATTGTGGGTAACGAAGGCACCAGGTTTTAACAAAGGAGAAGAATGTGTGTAATAAAAAAGACGATATCTCTGTTTCTGCTGCATCATTTGATCCTTCTTCTTCCTAAATCAGTGGAGAACTGAAGTGGAGAATAAAAGTTATCTATCATAACTATTAACCTCAACCTCAGGTGCAGATGACAAGAATAAAGCTGGCACTGTTCACAATTACTTTTCATGCACCTTCTTTGTCACAACTTGTCAGTGTGATACTAGATACTAGCAGCAGAAGTCTGTGTGCTGCTGATAGAGATCTGGATTTCTCTTTGTTTCCATTTTGTCCAATTTCCTACAATTTCATCCTGATCTATATATTTACAGGGTGCTTTTTCATGTCACAGGTTACATGCTATTCTAGATATTAAAAATGTCACACAAATTAAATAACGTTTCATAACTGTGAAAATCATATATTCTGTGCATGACTTCTGTCTTTGACTTAAGATGAATGCACCAATGTCAGTTTTATTGTCTTCAGAATAACATGTTAAGGGCCAATCAGTGTATTTAAACATATATATGAATACTATACAAACAATCAAACAAAGCAACACTGTGCCACCATCAGGCCGATCAATGTTATTGTGACAATGTTTGACCACAGTGATGATGTTTCTCTCCTCTGCTCAGCCTCCAACATCTTGTTGGGTGACGCCTTGGTGCTGCTCAGTGCGACGCTGTACGCTGTGTCTAATGTGTGTCAGGAATACACAGTGAAGAACCTGAGCAGAGTGGAGTTCCTGGGCATGATCGGCCTGTTCGGCACAGTCATCAGCACCGTACAGATGTGAGTGTGTGTGTGTGTGTGTGTTTCTGTCCGTCTGTTTTAGGACTAATGCAACACGATGGTCAATCTGGTGTTTTGTTTTTTTGTTTTTCATTGTGCAGGGTGATCCTGGAACGTAATGAAGTTGCTAACATTCAGTGGAGCTGGCAAGTCGGTCAGTACCCGTCTTACACAGAAACATTTTCATAGACAAAACATGTACAAGGCAAGATTAGATTATTTCTCCTCTCCTGGTTCATTTAATTGATTTGAGCATTTGAGCATCGGTTTCCCTTGTTATGAAAAACGAAGTGGAACATGAAGGGGCAATAGATTATCGATGACCCCATATTGGTCTCTGTTGGAAAACACTGATTAAAGTTGTCCCCCTTTATGTCACAGGACCAGACTAAATCAATCAAATCCATACACTGTAAATCAGTCAGTATCAGCTCACACTCATCTCTTATATAATTCATGAGCTTGTTTGTGTCAGTGTTGGGGAAATCTTTTCTGAACTGAACTAATTACTTATAAGTTAGTCACAGCAATTTTAAGAAGGGGAAATACACCCACTAACGACCCACACAGAAATGTATATAACATATATGTCCCTATATCAAGAGAGATGTTGCCATATATGTCACCTATTAATATCACATGTATACATCATCTGGATATATGAAGATAAAAGTTCATAACATATAAGAAATACACAGTAAAATTTGTAAATATGTTAAAACTATCTATATGATGAATTTTTATATGTTATAACATATTTGTTAACAATATAATTAAAACAACATCCTTTATAACTTTTAATATGAATTTGTAAAAAAAGTTCTTAATTTTACACATAGTATCATTTTTATTTACTGTATACAGTAAATAAAAATGTATTTCATTAACATAATATATACATTTTCATAGACAAAACATGTACAAGGCAAGATTAATATATATATATATATATATACATACATATGTGTGTGTGTGTGTTGGAGGAATGAAAGTGAAGGTTAATTTGTTATATTTTTAAATCAGGGTCACTGATTCTGTACAAATAATTAAAATCTTGCTCAGCTTTTTAATGAGGATCCACCACTGACTCCACAGAGAAGACGAGCAGGACAGAANGTGTGTGTGTGTGTGTGTGTATGGGTAAAGTTTCCTGCAGAATGTTGTTGTTTTTTTGTTTTTTATTCCTGCAAAAAGACATACGTATATGTACCGTATATATATGTATATATATGTATATATATATATATACGTATATATATTGGAACTGTTGTGCACGTTGTACCTGGTTAGGTTGTAGATAAATCTCCACTTGGTTTGTGTACACACTGAGCAGAACCAGCAACCTCCCTGTGAGAACAGGACTTTTCAAAGGCTGCATGCAGACACCAAAGAAACAACTCCCCTGCCTCAGATAACTACTCATAAAACCACAGTGTATCTATTTCTACACATTTAATTCAGAACATGGAGGGATTACAGAACAGGCCTAACGAGCACAGGCCCAGGGGCCCAAGAGGTTGGGAGGCCCCTGGGCCACAGCCTTTGTATGAAGTATAAAGTAATATAATATAAAGTAATCTCTTGTTTGAGATGCAAGACTGAGAGAAGCTTCTTTTCCAGTTAAGGATGTTTGAATTGTTACTATAAGATAACAGTTGTGTGTTTCTCTCCTCAGGGCTCCTGTTCTCTGCCTTTGCTTTGTGTATGTACGCTCTGTACAGCTGTATGCCCATAGTGATGAAGCTGAGCAGCGCCACCTCCGTCAACCTCTCCCTGCTCACCGCTGATCTCTTCAGCCTCTTCTGTGGAGTCTTCCTCTTTCAGTATACTGTGAGCAGACATGTGTACACACACACACACACACACACACACACACACACACACACACACACACTAATGAAAGAATGCCTCCTATTAACAAGTATTACGCGTGTATCCTGTCTGTGCTATTGTTTCCCAAAACCATTACAAATACATCAGTGGGCCACACTGTTGCACTGGGTGACATGTTAATAATTAATAATAATATAATAATAATTATTTTGACTCAGTCCCACATATACTGTCTTACTGTCCCAAATACTCACTAAAGCACTAAATGTGGATTCATCTGCAGCTGAAAATAGTCCCTAACAACACTGGACAAATAACCACAATGCTCAGCTGTTATAGGAAATTATTAAGTCTTTTTTTTAGAAATGGAAGTATATAATTTTCACCTGTTTTAAATTTTAAAAAAAAAAGATTTACATCTTCAGTAGAAAGCGATGGGCTCTGGGCTCAGTGCCACAGACAGGCAGGGTAAGGTGGAGGGTACTGAGAGACGGATTAACACGTTGGTGGTTTTGGTCTTTCATGGCAGTTCATGGCAATAATATCACCAGACTGATCCTTTAATGACAGTGTCTCAAGTTGAGGCTTCTCTCTGAAGCAGACACTACAGTGCTTCATCCCACCCATCTCTGGGTCACAGCAACCTGCTGGATGTTATAGTGGCACAGCAGTGTTAATGAATAATTTAATAAGGGTTAAAGTGTAACCTGTTTTAACATATGACTAACAGATTGACAGTTTATAAGCCTGTGAGTCCTATAGGTTTTTTAAATGACTTTCACTGTGCTGAATCCCGAAAGTCACTCATGCAGTACATTGTTTTTTCTTCTGCTTCCCTGACATGAACTACTAACTGGACCATCCAGTAAAACATCATTAAATTCATTTACTTTTCATTTTATGCTACTTTTTACACCTCCACTTCATTTGCAGATTAAAGCCCCTCCAGACATTTGAAAATACTCTTTCAGAAAACAAAAGTTTATGTACCTTCTAAAAAATAACATCTCCTCCATCTTCCTCCCTGATTGAAAAATTCAGAATCTATGAATATGAAAATATTGTTCAAAAATTTTTTCCTGGCCACAAGATGTCTCCTGCTTCACTGAAAAGTGTGGCCTTAAGGTTTCAAGTTTCCACATCACTCTCTACAAAGGTTGCATACTGGTTGTGATAAATCCTGCAGGTGAGTCCAGGTATTAAACAGAGATTTAAGGTGAGCGCAGGGAAACTTTCCCTCTGCAAACAGTTGAGTGAAGTAAAATATTAAGTAACAATGAGCAAAACACACTCTGTGGTTTATCTCCTGCCTCTGTTAAGTGCACTAATTGAGACACGTCGCTATTGTTCCAGCTCATTGTTTAGCTGTCTGGGCCACAGCTGTTTTGGTTCGCTGTCACCGCTCTCGTAGAGTCATCTTAGGTCGCTGTTTTTACTGAAAAACCTCGTAAAACCGTTTGTCCACAACTGTCCACCACCTGCTCAGCAGCAAACAGCAGACAGACACAGTTACAGAGCAGCTGGTGAACATTGTGGAGTCTTTATGAGGAGGTAGTAAAGACCAAAAACAGCTAAAAGAGAGAATGTATTGGTCTTTAATTCATCAGCTGGACACGAACAATGATAATGACGCTCTGTGACTGCTGCATGTGTAAATAAGCAGCTATTGACACAATAATCACTGTATTCATTTAAGTACATAAAGTATTTAAAATCTACTCTCCACTCTGCCTCAGTTCTCTGCACTCTACCTGGTCTCACTGGTGGTCATCCTCATTGGTTTCATCACCTTCAACGCTGTGCCAGCACCAGCTGACCCCGGTGACCCCACTGACCTTGCTGACCCCACCACCTCCTCTTCCTCTGCCAACGACAACGAGGGATACAACAACAACCCCGCGGCCTCTAAGAATGAAATCACCGAGCAGGAAGTGGCCGTGAAGATCACTACTGAGGAGGAAGAGGATGATGAAGAGGAGCAGCAGGCGGATGGAGAGAGGAGGGAGGGCTGGGAGGAAGATGAGAGGAGGAGGAAGAAGAGGAGAGCGTCAGGGCCATCACAGAGGTTTGGAGGAGGGAACGATGATGTTGTTGCTGTTGGACGCAGCACTAAAATGTGAACACCAGCACAACAACCTGTCAATATGTCATATTTTTTATTTTTAAAAACATTTATTTATTGAGTTATTGAGTTTTTCTTGTATATAACAGCAGAGAGTACATACAGAAATTAACAATACAGATATGAATGAGAAAATAATGGAAATAAAAGCAAATACAAACTAAAACAGTGGTACACATCTCATCCTTCAGATGGTTAAAGCTGCTGTCATTGTTACTTATGATGTTATTATATCAGGCATCCTCCGAGTTGCATATTTTTTATTTTTTTATCCATGTTCACTTTTAGCAAAAGTCACTTGCCTCACAGTCCTGTTATCCACTCACTGCATGATTTTTTTCTGGGTGTTTTACAAATGTTTTGCTCAAAGAAAACAAAATAATAATGACTAACTATCTGCTCCCCTCTGCCTCCACATCCTCCATTACAAATATCCTCCACAACAGACATGGATTACACTCAGCGAAATTTGGAAAGCAGTACATCTTTACTGTGCAAAAATATAATGTAAATAGAACCACAACGAACCAGTTTACACTCTTGAATATTGGCATCGTCTTACAAAATGACACATCTGAGCATTTTTCTGATCTGGTGGCTGAGTCACAGGATCAACATCACCAAAAGGATTCATATGGCAATTTTCAGCTCTGACGTCTCTGGTTTGGTTTGGTTAAGTTTGGGTTTTGGCTAAAGGAAACTGACAGTGACTGCTGGAGATGGGGTGTGAACCACAGTCTCCACAGTCACAGTCAGATGCTGTGTGTGGCTCATTACAAAATCAGAGCAGTAATATCAACCTAAAATAAAAATAAAAAAACACCACTATGGACATTGTACGACTTTGTTCATTTTGCAATTTGGTGTTTTTTTCTCATTCCCATGCATAACTGGCAAATAGATGACATGATGCCATGAGCCTCCTTCCAACAGCTAAAAATTAAGACTCTCCCTTAGTCAGGCCCAATAACTTCCTGGAATCTCTGCTGGTAGCTGAGCAACCAGTCCGAACCAAGAAATAGTCATGGGCATATAACACCCCCCCCCCAAAAAAAAATGGACGTTTGGTGTTTGGCATTGTGTTTTTTATGGATTAAACAAACAGTATACAATGAGCTTTAGAGGTTGTGGTTGGTGCTTTTTGTTACTGCTCAAGACTCAGGCTAGCTTTTTTCCTCTGTTTCCAGTCTTTGTGCTAAGCTAAGCTAATCAGCTGCTGGAAAAATGTTAAACTTCCTTTAAACATCTTATAAAAACCAAACCTCCCACAATAGCTGGGTGGCATAAAATTATTTTTGACTATTTGACATACAGGTCTAAGTGTATGATCAAGGTATTCTATAAGATTTGGTCCCTGTTCCTAGATTACATTGGTTCTCGACTAGCAGCCATGGTTTGGATGGGTCTGGTGGATCACAGCAAGATAGATATAAGGTAGAGTTACAGAGGGAGGACAAACAATATGCTTCAATATAAATAAATACAATTAGAGGGAGCAGATGCCGCATAGGAACACACACACACACACACACACACACACACACACACACACATACGCTCGCAACCACAATAAAAGCAATAAATGGACGAAATGGAGGCGAAATGGAGCCGATAAAAAGATAAAAAAGACGATAAAAAGACGACATCACATAAAAGCAAGTCTATAAAAATGGGTTTTAAGAAGTGATTTAAAAGAAGTCACTGATTCTGCCTTATCTCCTCGTTCCAAAGTCGAGGGGTCCTGATGGAAAAAGCACAGTCACCTTTAGATTTAAGTCTCGACTTTGGCCTGAAGGGCCCTGCCTGAGGATCTCAGGCTGCGTATTGGCTCATATGGGGTTGTTAACTCTGTAATGTAGCTCGGCGCCCTGGCGTGCATTAAAAGTGATCAGTAAAATCTTGGAGAGTGACTTTTGATTTGTGCCAGAGAGGAGGGAGTTGCATTAGTCCAGTTTTGAGAAGATGAATGCGTGAATGACTTTTACCAGATCGGGTTGTGAAATGAGGGGCTTGATTTTATTTTGGAGATGGATCTTAATTGAAGGAAGCAGGACAGGACACCTTTTAAGATATGGTGGTCGAAGGTCAGGTGTGAATCAAACAGTGCTCTGAGATTTCTGGCCGTGGGTAGCACATTTGTGGACCAGGGACCAAGAGCCTTCTGAAAGGAACTGATGGGGTTCAGTGGAATTGTAAAAAATGTTGTGCCATCCAAAATTGACCTAAAATTGAACCTTGCGGTTCACCACAGGTAATGCAAGTTGTGCAAGACTCATGATTACCTATGGTGACTGAATAGGTTCTGTCTAAAAGGTAGAAATAAAACCAAGAAAGTGCAGTGTCCTTGATGCCAACCCAGCTTTTCAGTTAAAATGGAAGCCAAAAGTTGGGTTTTTCAACAAAGGCTGAAAGTCTTTGAGAGTTATGGAATCACAAAGTAGAAACAGCCTGATGGAAGCAGCTCTCCGAGCAACAGTCAGTGAATCACAACACTGGACACCGACATCACGGCTGGAATGGACTGCAGGTAAGATACTGAAGATATGAGATACTGTCACAGTGTCTTCTCATTCTGCCTCTAGAGTCTCGTCTTCTTCTGGTTGGAAAATCCCTGATCAAACCTCCTCAGTCTCCTCCTCCTGAGCAGCTCCTCAGGACTCAGCTCCTCATCGCTGGGCTGGGAACCGTGAGGGAGACGTGCAGTTCCTCTCTGCCCGGTTTGTCCTAAAAAATAAAATATTACTAAATTTATGTGTTCAACAGCAACACGCCAGCCTCCCTTCCATTTCTTCTTATTTTTCTCTCTTGCCTCTTTGATTCAGGCTTTTTCTGACGGCCAGTTCTATCTGCTCTTCCTCCGTCAGTCCTGCGATGTAAGATTCTGTATAATCAGACGTATGATCTGTTGTAGAGTCTTCTGCGTGTCGTGGCTCTTCTGAGTTTCCTCGCCTAGTCCCGCTGTAGCCTACTCACACATTTACACACATGTAGACAATGTAATTAGATACAGAATAACTGAACAGTAAGCAATGATCGATGCCTTTGTGTAATTCTCATTTCTTTGTAGGGTGACACTTTTCGCAGGTTGAAAAAACACAGGTTGGAAAGTAACCTGGTAGATTAGTCTTAAAATATGTCCTATCAGTAGTAACTCTTGTGAGTTACTAGATGATTCAATCTCACTGGAACTTTAATCATTATTCATAATAAACAAACTGAACAAAGAAACATGTAACATGTATTTGTTGAAGTGGTCGGACATTCACAACTCACAACAGCTTTGTTCAATGGGGCATATAAAATATTACTTCATCATTTTATCCAATTAGACATTTGTGTTAAATTCTGTTTGCGTATGAATTCTGAATGAATTATGGCCAAAAACGTGTTTCGTGAAGTCACACTGGGATTTGTCAAATGGCTGAGTGAAAGAGGTTCCACAGTAAACATCTGAGGTGTCCTGCTGGTTCTAATCTCTCAAACAGCAGAAAAACTTCTACTTATCCAGAGTGTAACTCTGCCTTTACAACATGTCATGAATCCGCTCTTTCCCATTTTACTTCTACAGTCTCCACGTGTAGGATTTAAACATTCCTGACTTTGCTGCCTCTCAGTGGTCGAAACAAAAACATGCTGTTGTACCTGAAGCACCTGAAGAGCTGTGGTATGAACTTGGCCGTGGAATAGTTACATCTGAAGATACAAACTCTGATGGGAAAAAAAATTGTATTTCAGTGAATATTTGACATTTAACATTCACTAACACTTGGTGATACAGTTTCTCTCTCTCTCTCTCTCTCTCTCTCTCTCTCTCACTCTCGTCATCTCTCTTCTCTCACACTCACACACCATCACACACACCACACACAAGGATTGTGAGAACTCCGACACAACACATCTGCGAGTAGTACAATAGCATAGACTACCTTCAACGTTTTGCTCACTTTGATAGAGGTCACTGTTATATCGACCCACCCAATACAACTGGCTGGAAAAAAAAGAGCGACCGCCAGTCTCAGGTTACGGTTGTGCACCTGCAGAGCAGGTTTTGGTAGAGGACATCTCTGTTATTTATCTGGCAATTCTTACCCAGTCATCCTGTCTCCTTTAGCTATCATAAAAAGAAAAACATGTTTACTTTGTCATCTGTGGCCTATATGAGTGAAGACGTGCCTCCAATTTAAAAAATAACCAACAACACCAATAAAGTGTGCACAGATGTGAAGAATCTGAATACTTCTTGAAGCACTGTATCATATAACGGTCATCATAAGACGGCAACACACAACAGCACACATCAGCACCTGCACAACGTCTCCGATGATTGGTCTTCCAGTGACCCACAGGTGTAGAGCAGACCACAACAGCGATCTGAGCCATCGCCAGTATCAGGGCAACCAGAGCAAAGCACTAGAACCCTGCCAGGGGAACCACAGAATCCTGAAATCAGACCCGATGAAAATTTAAACAACTTCCTACTCAGTATTACAAATCTTACGGACACCATACCAAAAAAATATAGTTTGTTGTTGCTTGACTCTTTTCTAAGTTTTTACCAGGATCCTTTTTTTATGTTAGTAACGTACATCTCTAAATAATTTATTCTGTCATTTGTGTACCATTTTTTACAATGAGTGGATGAGACTTAACTTTATAATTGGTCCAAATGTCACAATTAAACGTAAAGCCATTCTAGGCTTATGACACTTTCCATATTAAGATTGACGAAAGAAGATATATTGTTGTTTTAAGAACCAAAAACCATCGAGATGTCAGTTCTACATCTTCCTCTCTTCAGGCTTCTCTCTAGGAGCTCTGATAACAGACAGGTCGGTGCAGCCCAATCAGACAGAGAGAGCCCTGAGCACATTATCAGGTAAACACTCAGAGAAACCAAATACCTGCAAGATTCGAATGGTGGAGTTCAGCGTGGTGTTGGGGCTTTATGGGGCCATAGGCTCTTAGCAAGCAGTGACGTGACCTTGTTGTGGACATCACAAAGACAGAAGTCCCTTATAGCTGGTATGTGAAGGCTTCAGTTCTGAATACAGGCTGTGTAGCAATTTCTCTGTTGGACTAGACGCTTTTGATTTACTCTCACGCAGGTATTAATATAGAATCCTAGGCCAGCTTCTTATAATCAAACAACACGATGGAATCTTACCTTGAATTTACTAATAGGTTCACTTATAAAACCAGTAAATGTAGTTTCTCCTTAGTCAAGAGAAGACCACAATCATCCAAAGTCTTCTATTATTTGCTTAAGCTGTACGGTTTAGCCTTTTACAAGCCTTTCTCATATCCACAGAGAATTACCAAATTTAATACCATTTTACATCCACAGCGAGCCGCAAAGATGACAGAAAATGAATGATAATTTAACTTACCATATACATGTATTTGTATATATTACAAGTATATGGAAAAAATACTTCCTAGAATATGCTCATTTAGCAATAACCTGTATCCAGATAAGTCGGCAGAAAATTGATGAATGGATTGAAGAAATTTAAAAAGATCCAATTTAATTTAGATTTGTTGCAAAAGCTGAACACTTGCCCATAATGAGGGGATGAGGTTCCTCTGCTATGTATGAACGTGGTAGAATGTCAGTGTTTAGCTGACATGAAGTCCCCAAAAGGGA